AAACACAGCATGGACCAGGATTTGAAACAAACATCCTGGACCATAAGCTGCAGCTCTATCGACACCATCATAAGGTCACACTTCACTGGTTTATTGTAAATTCAGAATACAAATTCCTTTTGTAGTTGAGATTCCTTCAGGAGGCTGGGAATGCCCCCATTGTACATTTCAAGAATAATCACAACAAACTGACCCACGCAGAACAAAAGATCCAAGGTTCACTTTTAAAGCAAACTACACTATTAGCCTGAGCTCAGGTCAAGCATTGCACACACACCAGGATTCGTCTTGAATTGAATACAGACCATTTAAAGCAAAGTATGAAAGACATGATAGTACGCCAACAAAAAAAACTAAATGATTACTCCTGGACATGGGAAAAGCACTGGTTTAGTTCTATTATAAGCAGGACAAGAAATGAACCTTCTGAAGGGTAGCCCCTCAGCATTAATGAAACTCCTCCACCCCAGAAACATCTATTGGTTGGTTTGGGTAGGATTGCTTTCCATGTCCAGAACGCTGTTGAGCCACACTTAATGCATGCTGAAAGTGAAAGTTCATTGCCTACCCACCAAAGTAAATCAGTGACATAGAATGAGATGCCTTCCTTGGTTGCCTTGCTAACTTTTCATTGGACTTTTTTTTTGGTCAACCGGGTGTCTGACACATGCAGAAACCCATCACCATGCTTAAGAGTATCCAAACCAAGCTGAGATTTTGGTCCATCCTACCTACACATGGAAATCCCAGAGATAGATTGTTGGAATGGAATGCGCTCTCTCTCCCTGGAGCGATGCATCCTGCTTACCTAATTCCAGGAAGTATTAGGTGCAGGTTGCCAAGAGCCAAGACTTGGGGCCCCAGAACCTATGATTTGGTGTTGGGTTAACTGCTGGAATCTAACCAGCTGAAACCACATAGCTGCCATTGATATCTGTCTGGCAAGCTTTCCCGTTGCTTGTCCAGCTAGGACCACATTACCCGTTAGGGCTTTGGCTTGCAGGGTTAACAGGAGCTGAATGGGATGACTCCCTGCCCCGAGTGACTGGTCCAAATCGGATCTGTTTCTTGCTCTGTTCAAGATGGTTCCACGCAGTAACATAAATGGTGAATTGAAGTGGAATGACTGAATCGGCTGAAGTAGCCGCTTGATGAAACCTTAGCACACTACTGCAGTTATGCCACCTACTGGATCTAAAAAATTAAAACACATTTCCCAACAATGTTCTCTTGTTAAGTGAGGTAGCCCGAGTTACATAACATTCAGGTTATACATACCACCGACCACCTTTAAGATTAGAATAATCCTGTGCTAATGTTGTATAAAATACAAAAACACACAACACTGATAGCTGTGTTTAACACAGAGTAGGAACACGCCAGGCAGTGGGAATAAGTAGTTGGGAAGCGAGTGCATTATGGAATGAATGGGTTGAAATTAGCTTCTGGAGGCAGCAACTTCCAACAAGAATTGTCCAGTTTAGTCAGTCATTTGCAGAGAATAAAACAGCCTAAACAGCAAGAGAAGAGCCCAGAAAGCAGGAGGCTGGTTTGGCTGCAGACTGTCTGACAACCACATGGCTGGTTGGAGTAGTTTATCTGAACAGGCATTTATTTCAAGCAGTCAAAACACAACTGACTTTTTGGAAGAGTCCGCAAGGTTCCCCCCCGGCATTAAAACAAAATTCGACATTTGCTTCCCATCGAGCTGCGATGCAATACTTTTAGAGAGGCCAGAATTGATGTCCCTGCAAAGCCTGTAATGATCAGAGATAGCGAGACAGACAGCCACCCACTTGGCTGTAACAAGATAAACTCTCAGAATGACTGCACTACACAAGGGGAGAGTGAAGGGTAGGAGTGAACCGAATCAATGATGTGAACAGCTATTTCTCCCATCAGACCAGACATTATACAATTCCGAGTTGCTTTTTTTTAATTAAAAATAGTTTCAGTAGGAAAAAGAACTGGGCACTATTATTTTAAACCATAGTTATGAGGTGATGACATGCTGCGTTGAAAGACATGGCTAGGTTTTAAGGTCAAGCGTTATGATATAAACAGATTGGTTTCTTTCAGGTTATGATGTAATTTTACTTACTGTATGTCACTTTTTTTTCAAAAAGGGACTTCCCCCCCCACAAAAAAAAAGAACTCAAAGTCTAACTCAATTAATTCACGTTTATAAGATCTTGATATCCAAGCAAGAAACACTGGAGATGAAGGGTTGGGTTTATTAAACCCATGGGCATTGAGTCAAGATAATTAAGTGCATCTTAGCACTTTTATTGAAGTTACTCTCATTATAAAGCCTAAGTCTGACCGGAATAAGTTACAATCGCAATCTAGATTGTATGCATCATGTTGGTCTTGGCAGAATCCAAACAGATGTGATAGGATTTGTTTATCTTTTGAATGTAGTTAGATCAGGAATTCTCATCAGCATCAACCTCACTCAGCTCAATGCTGAGAAAAGGTCAGGTTTTCCCCATATTCCAGTTACTGAACAACAAATCATCAACTGGTGACTTTTTAAAAAAACTCCCCCCTTCCCCAGTTTTTTCCTACTGAAACTTTTTTTAAAACAAAAAAAAGCACCTTGGAATTGTATAACATCTGTTCTCTGAACACCATGTTACTTACACACCAGAGAAATGGCTATTCACATCATTAATTGGGTTCACTCCTGCCAGTCTCCCTAAAAATACAGTCAATACATTTTACAGTATAGTCTGCTAAGCGCTTTGAGACGTCTCGAAGACACGATAAGGCGCTATATCAAATGTGAGGATTATTATTATGCAGTCTAGTGGTTTACCTTGTTTCACAGAAATTTCCATTCTTATATACAGTATATATACACACACACACACATACACACACAAAAATCTATAAAAGAAATTTGTCAACCTCACTAACATCAACAGTTCAGATCGCAGATAGAATTAAAATAAAATTCTCCAAATGTCAAGAGGCTGTTATGTTAGTTCATTAACTTCGTACACTACACACCGACTTTGGTTCACCTACGAATGGGCGCTCACTATGCTTTACACTAAATCCTGCTAAGTGCTTCGAGATGTTCCGACGACGCGATAAGGGGCTACACATAAAACAAGTATGTAATAAGTACTACGATTGCTTTTATATTTTCAAGTTAACACGTTAATTAATTAATGCACATTAGGAAGGTATACTTGGGGAGTCTTAAAATGTGCTTGGGATCTTTTTGCGTCGCCTCCTCTCCTTCTGGTGTTTAACAGCACAGCCGAAGAGAGCATTTCATTTCATTCATTTCCCAGCATTTCATTCATCACCGACTTTAACGCATTCCTTTTTTTTCCCCCCAGTCAGTCCAAAAAAAAAACAACCAACAACCCTGCAAAACTGTGCAAAACGCCACTCATGACCATGCAGGCAGAGTGCACAAAAAAACATCATTAAAGTAAGATCGCTGGTTTATATAAGCGGATTTTTTTTTTTTGGGGGGGGGGGTGTTACAGGCACCTATTTTAATGTTATCATTACATTGCCCAACAGTTTCACCAACGAGTTGAGGAAAAGGGGGGGGGGGGGGGGGGTCAAAATGCATCCTTAGCATTTCCCAAGCTTTTTGGTGAGCATGAGAAACTATTCCACATAATAGTGCACACCCCCTTTGCAACTTCCACGACGCCTGTGCATTTGCCATTTAATTGAAACGAAAGGTCTTTGGCAAAACATAGCCCATTGCACACACCTACACACACACAACACCACACACTCACACAACACCACACACTCACACAACACCACACACTCACACAACACCACACACTCACACAACACCACACACTCACACAACACCACACACTCACACACAGCCACGGTTCGTAAAGGGATTGCGCCGACAGAGCCGTGGAAACGAGGTCAGGTTAATCATTAATGATACGAGGAACGTCGATTTGAGCCCCGTCGCGTCCACGGACGATTTCTGCACCCTCTCTCTCTTGCAAAAAGAGAAAGAGAGAGAAAAAGAGAGAGAAAACAGTCCAAGGTACCAAAACACCTCCAGCATCTGAGACTGGACTCTGGCGGTGCGTTACTGCTGTGGGGTTTGCAGTTAACCCTGCACTGGCCCCTCTCTGCAGTGACTATCCATGGGTTGAGAGTACAGAGAGGGACATGCACTGAAGTGCTCAAATGTACAAAGCAAATCACAGCCCCAAAGACTTATTCATTCCACCGCCTTCGTTACGATTGGTTCGCCCCTCTCTCTCTCTCTCTCTCTCCTCTCTCCCTCCTTCACACATGCACCTGATCCCGAATAGTGTCCCCCCCCCCCAGCACAGCACCTACACTTACATGCCACAGCCCACACCTCTCAGCCTGTGGCAAACACAATTATATTATTTTCTTTTTAACGTGAAATAATTCTAGTTTTCACCACACCCCCCACCCCCCAGTCCCCACTCCTCCACTCCACTCTCTGGGGCTGGTGGTCGCACTTCGATCATTTCAAGTAACAAAACACCAGTCACAAACACATTTTTTTCCGCAAAAAAACACTCACACTTTGATGATTGCAAGTTTCGTTTTTTTAAAAAAAAATCCTCAAAGGACTTTTTTTTTGTGTGTGTGTGTTTGACAGGACTTTACGAAATCAACTGTACAACACATTATATATATATATATATAAATGAAACACACACATATGTATAAATGAAACACACACATATGTATAAATGAAACACACACATATGTATAAATGAAACACACACATATGTATAAATGAAACACACACATATGTATAAATGAAACACACACATATGTATAAATGAAACACAGTCACACACATATATAAATGAAACACAGTCACACACATATATAAATGAAACACAGTCACACACATATATAAATGAAACACACTCACACACATATATATGTGTATAAAACACACACTCACACACACACTGGAGTCACTCTCGGGGGGGGGGGTTAGGGTGTGTGGAAAAACTCACCCAAAAGTGAGCGTGACAGTTGACCATCATGGTCCTCTCGATGAGCTCGTCCGGACACTCCAGCAGGTGATGGCCGGACACGACACCTGCGTTGTTGACCAGCACGGCCACCCCTCCCGCCTCCCTCCTCACCAGCTCGGCCGTGCGGTACACGCAGTCCCGTTTGCTCACGTCGCAAGTGTAAGTGTACACTCGAGCGCCCAACTGCCGCACCTTCTCGGCCGTCTCCTCGTTGCTCTGCTGGTTGATGTCCCACAGCACCAGGGTGGCTTTCTTCTGGGCGAACTCCAGGGCGAAGAGCCTGCCCAGCCCGCCGCCGGCGCCCGTGATCAGGCACACCTGATCGCACACGCTCTTCTCCCGGGGCTTGATGAACCATCTGGCCGCGGACTGCACGAAAGCCCACAGCACCCGGAAAGTCACGACGAAGAACTCCACCAGGATATGCATAGCCGAGAGGGCGAACCCAACAACACCACCACCACTACCACACACACACACACAAATATATATATACACACACAAACACACACACACACACAGAGAGAGAGAGCGAGAGATATAAATAGCAAATGCCTTTTGTCTGGAAGAGGTGAGAGGATGTTTTGGTTGGTTGTGAGGTGCACAGCCCCGGTTACGTTTGGGGGGGGGGTTTTTTCGCGCGTGTGAGAGTGTGTGTGGGGAGGGGCTTGTGTTGTGCCTGTGTAGTGACTGTGTTTCCTTGTGTGGTGGTGACTGTGCTGTGCCTGTGTAGTGACTGTGTTTCCTTGTGTGGTGGTGACTGTGTGGTGGTGACTGTGTGGTGGTGGTGGTGATGGTGGTGGTGCAGCCGCCTCCCCGCACACACTGAACATGTTCAGCTCCGGCTCTGCCTTTAAATACGCCACAGCTCACCCGCCCGCCCGCCCGCCCGCTCACTCACTCAGGACCCACGCACAGGCGGCCGCCCAGCTGACTGACTGCATTTACAATCACCGACGCGAAACGTCAATGCGTTTACCATTTCGACCGCCGACGCGAGCGTCACGTATTTACATCGCTTATATGCCGCCGATGTCGAGCGTCCCGGGACGCGCGTGTACTATTCACATCACGAAAGTGAGCGTGTCCGCGGCTTGGCCTGTCGGCCCCGCCGTACCTCCCTCCCCTCTTTTATCCCCCGCCGTCACCGAAAAGCCAAGCCCTCGCCGCTCCGCTCCTGGTCGAGGAGGCGTTTTAACCGGTTTTTTTTAAAAAGAGAAGATTTCATCGTGTTTTTCAGGGAATCGGGCGGTCAGCTTCCGGGGTTGGGGGCCTTGAAGGAGGCCCCCCCCCCCCACCTCTCGCGCAGGCGCAGTGCTCTGTCTTTCCCTTTCCCCTCTCGGTGGCCACCATGGCGGACGACAAGTGAGTTTGGGGGGTCGAGCCCGCGTTGCCATCCGCCGCCATCCGCCGCCTCGGTGTCGGTATCGCAGGCCTGTGGCCCCGGGGATCGCGAGCACACCCTCTGCCGCGTTCAACCCGCCCCTCATTTGTCGCGGCGGACGTCTTGATTCCAGTCGTGGCGGGACACCGTGTCGCACTGCTGGTGTCCTGCCTCCGGGACCGGTTGGCCTAACGGGGCCTAACGCTGTGCTGTGCTGTGGGGCCCCTGTGACTTTGTGCAGCAGGGAGTTGTCGAGCTCAGATCCCGGGATAAAGTTGTGGGGTGGGGTGGGGGGGGTTTAATTTGCCTTTTTTTTTGCTGCTGCTTTGTTCTGAAACCCGAGTGTCTTATCTGTTCGCGGTCTGTACCCAACGGCCGTGGCCCAGTTAGTGTCGGTGGTTGGCACCGGGGTTTATGGAAGAAAAAGATGTACTTGACTGTTGGGAGAGTTTGGCCCCGAAGATCACTTGCAGCGCAGGCGAAGTGTCCGGGCGAGTGTTAAGTTGGTGTTGTGTGTGGGGCGGCGTGAAATAATTCCTTCCGTTTTATTCTTCTCTTCCCGCCCAACCCACAACGCAGGACGCAGAAGAAGGTGCCATCTGTCCCCGAAAGCCTTTTGAAAAGGCGCAAGGCGTTTGCGCTGATGAAGGCCAAGCGCATCAAGCGTTTGTTGGCCGCAAAGAAGGTGTGTGCAACGTGAATGGGTCCTGAAAGACTGACCGTTTTCGGATAGCGATATCATAGTAGCATTTTGTCAAATGTGTGTGATCGGTAAGGTAGATTGTACTAAATTGTGAGATGTGCAAAAAAAAGTAATGTAAGTGAAATACCGTTGGCTCAGTGACAGCTCACAGTAATGCTTTTTGTAAGTCAAACACGGTGAAGGAGAGGTGATTCGGTTTCCTTAGCGATTTCAACACATTGTAATTATCTGGTGTACTGCAGCACACTTTAGTACAGTGAAATTGTGAATGGAAACAGTTTTCATTTGGTCATGCAGTAAAGTTCCTGAGTGAAGGTGCCATCTGTACCTGAAAGGCTATTGAGAAGGTGCAAGATCTTTATCCTCATGAAGGCCATGCGTGTCAAGAGTTTATCCTTCAGATGAGTTGTCAAACCAAGGTCCCATCTGCCTGTTCATGCGGGCATTAAATATGCCCACTATTTGAACAGCACTTTCAAATTAACACTATTTGAAAAGAGACGTGAATTTCTCCTGTTGTTCTGGCCAACAAGCTGGTAGATTTTTTTTTAAAAATGGCCACTCGCTTCATGCTGTTTGCAGGACATTGCTGTGCACAAATTTGGGTTTTTTACGTGCAAGTTTGACCATATTACCCTCCCAGAGTATTGCACTAGCGTGGACTCAATGTCCTGATCTGGGACTTGGAACTCACAACCTCTGACACAGAGGTCAGTTAAGTTTTGCATTGAGTCCTAAATTAAATAACTTTTATACAAGTATTAAAATATATATCAAAATTATTTTGAAAATGTCATGGAACCCTGTTACATGACTGGTGCTTTGTGAACCTACTAGCTTCCAAGCTGTGCATATGCAGAAATGATAAACCTGCCTGTGCCCCACTCTCCCAAAACTGGCCTGGAAACCTCTCTGACACCTTCCCCCCATCTCCCCCTCAGCTCGGGCTCCAATTAGACTTTGGAAAGTGCGACATCCTTCTATGTAAAGAGCATTGTATATAGTGAAGCCTATCACAATGTATTTTACTATAACAAAATTGCATTTATAAATATGGATGCACTGTGGACACTGTTCAATACACAAGTGCACAGACAGCCCATGCAGTGCCAGTTTTACAAGGTAAAATGGCCATCTTCCATGTCAGTAGATTGACTCTGATGACACTTACTGGTTTGAAATGATGTTGTAAGGGACACAATGACCGATTCGTCTGCCGTTTTTAGCTTCCTGCGCTTAAAAAAGGGCATTGGCACTTTTGAACATACGCAGAAAACAAGGCAATAGCATTAGCAGTGACCCAATTAACTGGCAGTGGGTAATATTTTTTCTTTTAGCATGGGAACTTTCTGTGCCATGTGCTGTGGTTACCAGTTATGGTACAGTGCGAAAGTGCTGACAGCCAATTGCGCGTTGTGGAGTCCTGTAGCTCAGTGGTTAGAGCACTCACCTTGCAAGCGAGACACCTGGGTTCAATTCCAGGCAGGGCGAAACTTTGGGCAAGTTTCCTTACTCCGCACGCCTAATAATAATCCCTCCAAAACAGAACAGTAATAAATTGGTCATCTTCAATCCACAACTGTTTGTGGGACATGGCTGTGTGCAATTGGCTGCTGCGTTTCGCCCACAAATATATAGTCAATTCACTTTACAGCATATTCTGTGAAGCGCTTTGAGACGTCTAGAAGACGTGAAAAGCATTATATCAAATGCAAGGATTATTATTGTAATGTTGGTAGGGATTTTATGGTTTCAAATGATCATGTTATAACTGCTCTACTTTGGCACTTCTAGTTAAACAGAGAGAAGAGAAAACTTATCTACAAGAGGGCTGAAAGTTACCACAAGGAGTACACACAAATGTACAAGCGTGAGATCCGTTTTTCCAGAATGGCTCGCAAAGTTAACAACTTCTATGTCCCCGCTGAACCCAGACTGGCTTTTGTGATCCGGATTAGGGGGTAAGGCTTTTGTTTCGGTCAGCTAGGCGTCTTTAACACATGCAGGAAATCATCACTGCTTAGGAGTATCCAAACCAGACTGAGTTCTACGCGTGTTTGCCATTTACACTTGGAATTTTTTCTGGGTCTGAAATGGAATGTGCACTCACCCTGGAAGGATGCACTCTACTTACTTAATTTTGGTCAGAATTGAGTGCCAATTGGAGAGAACCAAGGCTTGGTGACCCAGAATGTGCATTGGGATGCTGCTGGAGTTCAACCAGCAAAATCGTAAAGCTTGTCACTGAGAGAGCCCTGTCTGCTGAGCTTCCCACTTTTGTTCAGCTAGTGCTCCCCTACGTGTTAGATCTTTGGCTGATAGAATTAATGGGAGCCAAGTAGGAAGAATCCCTCTACCCACTGATCTACCTCTCTTAGTCCTATAGATGTCCACAGTTGGTTGCTCCGTCATCAGCAGTGCTCCAGAGTTAGGGTTGATTTGTTTTCAACATTTTTGTTGTCAAGCTTGCCACCTTAAACCCAGTTCAGCATATCTTTGACGTCTTCCCTTTCCTCTCTCCACCCCCCACAAGCATATGCATTATGCACTGCAAATTAATATTTGCTATGATTAATGACATACATTTAACCGACTTTTACTGAAAATGAGGATTAACTAGATTTTAAAGGCAATTTAAAGTGGAAACTATTCACTTGCTCTGTCTGAAACACTGTATTCTGATCATTTATTTTTTGTGACTTTAGCATCAACGGTGTCGGTCCTAAAGTTCGCAAGGTGCTTCAACTCCTAAGACTGCGTCAGATCTTCAACGGCGTGTTTGTCAAATTGAACAAGGCTTCCATCAACATGCTTCGAATTGCAGAGCCCTACATTGCATGGGGGTATGTGATTATTGAATATCATTTTTAAAAAATTATTATTTGGTGACGCTCATGCATAAATCTGAATACTTCAATCATGTGTTATAAGAATGTCATCTCTAACTAGATGTCCTTAAGACCTGATAGAATTCTTTAAATATTGCTTTGGTGTCTCAAATGTGGTTCATACTTCAGTTGATGCTTGAGATTGTTGCATGCTTTTGATTTTGGTTTCTTACTATTGAAGACATGTAACCATTGTATAAATAACCTACCTGCATTTTGATAAATAAATGCAATTCACTAATACAAACGTGACATTATTTCTGGATGTCACGAGTGCAAGCTTATCTTATTTATAATTGGAGATTGGTGTATTTTCACCGGTTCTGGATCAGGCAGTTTTAGTATTGGCAGTTGGGCAGTATAACTGGGGAAATTGGGAAAGGGTCTGGATTGGTAGTTAGCCAGGAGGAAAAAAGTTTTTTTAAAAAAAACTATTCTGGAACTTTTTTTAATATAATATTGTTCTTTAATTACTTAGGTATCCAAATCTGAAGTCTACACGTGAATTGATCTACAAACGTGGTTTTGGCAAGATCAAGCATCAGCGCATTGCTTTGACTGACAACGCCCTGATCGAGAAGCAGCTCAGTAAGTTTATTTTTACTGTTTAGTGGTTGTCGTTCATGTAAGATTAATTAGGACGTCTGGCCATATAAGAAGATAGACATTGTGCTTAAGATCCTGGTTCTGAATCTATTATTTTTTTCAGTCTTTTCACCTTATTACACCAGCCTTGGGAATTTGGAAGTGGATTTCTATACAGTGTATGAGTTTGACAGTCCTACCACGAGCTGTGAATCATCTCATTCTGTTTCTTTCCCTCACCCCCTTAGTGCTATACTTGGAATACACATATATGAAAGCTGGCGGGTGGGGGGGAGTCATATTAGGAAAATTTACCTTTTCTGTTTTTTGCAATTTGGGAAACAGTAGCTTGGAAATATTTCCTTGGAGAATAGAATACTTGCTTAAATAACTGCTGACTTGGGATTATTGTATAGTTCTTGACTGTTAGCATTCTGAATGCAGCAGAGAACTTGTATTTTTTTAATTTAAGCACTTTATAATAAATTTGTGATTCAGAATCTCTCACCCCTCCCCCCGGTAACCCTGGATCGATGTTGGGGCATTGGGCAGCAGGTGAACCATTATAGAACAATAAATTAATTTCCGAAAAGTCTAAAAAGTTAGATAATGGGGAAAATCATCATTTGGATTTTAAAGTTAAATTTCCTGGTAGTTAAAATTAATGAATAATTATTGGTAACTACGTGTTAGAAATACTTTCACAACTTCTATTTTAAGAAATGAATAATCTTTGCTGGTAAGTTTGTACATGCCAGAGTAGAAAATCATTAAACTGATGAATAGATCAAATGTGCAAAAAAGATTGAAAAAACTGTACTGTTTGCATGAGTCAATTATATACTTAACAGTCGATAGGGGTGATGATTGAAGGTACTCAAAATTTAACTTCCCCCTTTGCCATTAGAGGTTATTTTAAAAAAAACACAATACTGATTTTCTAATCATAATTGTGAAGCCTCTTTTCCAGTGACCAAGAATGTTTGCTGCTTAAATGTTATACAAGTAATAAATGCAACAGTTTACACCTTTGCTAAGTCTGTAAACTGCATTGACTTTTTGGTTCCATTGACAAATGTGAATTGCAAATTGTTGTAAATATTACAGAGAAGTACGGCATCATCTGCGTTGAGGATCTGATCCATGAGATCTACACAGTCGGCAAGAACTTCAAGGCAGCAAACAACTTCTTGTGGCCCTTCAAATTGTCCTCCCCACGTGGTGGCATGAACAAGAAGACTACACACTTTGTTGAGGGTGGTGATGCTGGTAATAGGGAAGACCAGATCAACAGAATGATCAGGAAAATGAACTAAAAGTAAGTGATATTCTTAAGTATCGTTAAGATACTTAAAATTCCTTCATTTGGAATGACCAACTCCTTACACCATGTATCCCTACATATTTAAACATCCGTGTATCAAGACTGAGGTAGATAGATATTTGTTAGGTAAGGGTATCAAGGAATATGGGACAAGGGTGGGTAATTGGAGTTTAGGTTACAGATCAGCCATAATCTTATAGAATGGTGGAACAGACTCGAGGGGATGAATGGTCTACTCCTGTACGCCACCTTGCTAAGCCAGTCCAGAACCTTGGGGTCTTGTTTGACCCTCAACTATCCTTTCTACCCCACATCTGCACCATGACCTGCTCTGCTTTTCCCCCACCTCCACAATGTCGCCCGGCTCCACTACTGTCTCACACTGCAGGCCGCCGAAACCCTCATACACGCTTTCATTACATCGAGGCTCGACTATGCAAACTGACTGCTTGTCGGCCTCCCCAACTCCTCCCTCCACAGGCTGCAGATCATCCAGAACTCTGCAGCATGTGACCTCTCCTGCACCAGGCTCTGTGACACTATCATCCTCATCCTCACCTGACTCCACTGGCTTCCCATCACACAGAGGATACAGTTCAAGATCCTGGTCATCACCTTCAAAGCCCTCCATGGTCTTGCTCCCCCCCCTACCTCTCCAACCTCCTAACCCCCTACCACCCTGTTCGCTCCCTCCGCTCAGCGGGCTCCAGCCTGCTTCACTTCCCCCGCCTTTGCCCCACTATTGGCAGGCGGGCCTTCCGCCACTCTTCATCCACCCTCTGGAACTCCATCCCGCAGTCCCTCCATCTCGCCCCCTCCCTTGCCATCTTCAAGACCCACCTCAAGACCCTCCTCTTCGACCGTGCTTTCAATCTCCCTGCTTCCCCCGCCCTCCCCCACCCCGCCCCCCAGCTCAGGTCCGTAACACTGTCCCAACGCCTTGGGATGTCCTCCCGACGCAAAGGCGCTATACAAATGTCATTTTGTTGTATGTTTTTGTGTCAACTTTAAAAAATATATAGTGTGGAAGAGAAGTGTTGGATTAGAAAGTGATAGTTTCTAAAGATTGGAATTCATCACAGGGTGAAATTTCCTGCATGTACACAGCGCCCCACTGTGTGCAACTTTATAATTGCTTGAATCTCAGAGATGAGTCTCCAAATCCTTATCCACTTAATTCTGGCAATACGAGAGGTGTAATGCAGTTAAGATAATAGCTCAATAAGAATTGCTGCTGCTGTTTATATAAAAAAAACATTTTCTAGTCTTGTGGCTTTTTCTTATCTATTTTGTGGTACAAAAAGGTACATACAAAAGAAGCTATAAAGCCAAGCTTAGCAGTGGCTAATTCTTTGAAACCAAAGTATTCTGTTTTATACAGATGTTTTCATAATGTTATATGAAAGAGAAAAGGGCTCATATGTAATAATGTATAGGTAAATGCGGTTGGATATTGACAGCATAATGACTTAAGTCATAGTGACAAGTTAAACCAGGGTTCAGTTATAAGGTTATATGTCTTAATTCACCACTCTGGATTTTCATATTCAATAATAACTAACAGTTTACTAGTTGCAGTTTGTCTGGCTGAACAAAAGTTCACCATAACTGCTTAATTTTTAACAATATTCAGAAAAATGTATTTGACAAAGTAAATTAGAATACAAACTGCTATTATTAAAAATATTGCTGAAAAACTTTACATTCAGAAATGTTCTTTTGTTTTCTCTTCCAGGTGTGCCACAGATGAACTTCTTACTGTGTTCTGTTAAATAAAGTTGTTTACAGAAAATTGTTTTATTCTGGTCTTCATTTGTTTCCAAAGTTTTTTTTAATATTTATTTTGAACCTGAAGTACAAAATCTATAGTCAGCCTTGTGAACTTAAAAAACTTGTTGAAGTGTACTTCATATGGAAAGATGTATAGTATGCTAATTTTTAAAAATCACAAAGATTTCTTCATTAATTCTAAATTCATCAATATTCTGAATGTAGTATGCTTTAAGCTGCTCAGAGCGTGGAGGGCGCTTTATAAATGAAAGTTGTTAAACCAGGTTATTTGTAAACTCTGATAACCTCACACATCCTCACATTGAATTCCATCTGCCACAGTTTTGCCCACTCACTCATTCTGTCTTAAGTCCCTTTGTAGCTTCCTGTTCCCATCTACACAACTTACTGTGCCTCCTAACTTTGTGTCATCTGTAGATTTTGCTACAACACAAATCCTTCATGGTGAAAAGCATATATTATACATATGCTTTTCACCACATATGAAAAGCTGAGGCCTCAGTACAGACACCTGGGGAACATCACTTGTCACGTCTCTAATCAGAATGTTCCTTTTATCCCTACTCTCAGTTTCCTGCCTCCGGTACTTGAAAAGAAAAATAATTGCCAGGATATGGGGAAAGAGTGGGGGAGTGGAACTGATTGGGTAGCTCTTCCAAAGAGCCGTCGCAGCACGATGGGCCAAATGCCCTCCCTCTGCTTTAATATTCTATGATCTGAAACCACCATATTAAACGTGGGTGTTTCGCCCACAAAATATGCAATCAATTCACTTTACAGTAAAATTCTGTGAAGTGCTTTGAGACATCTCGAAGATGTGACAATAATCCTTGCATTTGATATAGCATTTTATTACGTCATTGAGAAGCCTCAACGCGCTTCATAGAATATATAATGAAGCGGAGTGACTATATTTTGTGGGTGAAATGCGACAGCCAATTATGCAAAACAAGTGTCCCACAAACAGTCGTGCATTGAGTGACCACATTAATTTAGTTTTTTTTGGAGGGATTATTACCCCTGGAAAGCGATCTGCCAATCAACTTAACAACTGGATTCCTACTTACTACTAGGTAAGCAAAGGTGTGTGGAGTAAGGAAACTTGCCTAAGGCTTCGCCCTGCTGGGAATTGAACCCGCATCCTCTCACTTGCGAGGCGAGTGATTTAACAGCTGAGCTACAACTTAACAGAGTAACAGATCACAACAACAACCACAACTTGTATTTATAAAGTACTTTTCTACATGGAATAGTGGAACATATAGGGTAGAGTCAGGGAGTGATCAGGAGAAACTGTTTCCACTGGCGGGTGGGTCGGTAACTAGGGGGGTACAGATTCAAGATAATTGGCAAAAGAACCAAAGGGTGGACGAGAATTTTTTTTACCCATAGAGTTGTTGCGGTCTGGAATGTACTGCCTGAAAGAGTGGTGGAAACAGATTCAATAGTAGGTTTCAAAAGGGAATTGGATAGGTACTTGAAAAGGAAACATTTTGCAGGCCTATGGGGTAAGAGCAGGGGAGTGGCACTAGTTGGGGTAAGAGCAGGGGAGTGGGGCTGGTTGGGGTAAGAGCGGGGGAGTGGGAGTGGTTGGGGTAAGAGCGGGGGAGTGGTTGGGGTCAGAGTGGGGGAGTGGGGCTGGTTGGGATCAGAGTGGGGCTGGTTGGGATCAGAGCGGGGGAGTGGGGCTGGTTGGGGTCAGAGCGGGGGAGTGGGGCTGGTTGGGGTCAGAGCGGGGGGTGGTTGGGGTCAGAGTGGGGGAGTGGGGCTGGTTGGGATCAGAGCGGGAGTGGTTGGGGTCAGAGAGTGGGAGTGGGGCTGGTTGGGATCAGAGTGGGGCTGGTTGGGGTCAGAGCGGGGGAGTGGGCTGGTGGGGGTCAGAGCGGGGGTGCGGTTGGGGTCAGAGCGGGGGAGTGGGAGTGGTGGGGGTCAGAGCGGGGGTGCGGTTGGGGTCAGAGCGGGGGAGTGGGAGTGGTGGGGGTCAGAGCGGGGGGAGCGGGAGCGGTGGGGGTCAGAGCGGGGAGCGGGAGCGGTGGGGGTCAGAGCGGGGGGAGCGGGAGCGGTGGGGGTCAGAGCGGGGGGAGCGGGAGTGGTGGGGGTCAGAGCGGGGGGGAGCGGGAGCGGTGGGGGTCAGAGCGGGGGAGTGGGAGTGGTGGGGGTCAGAACGGGGGGGAGTGGGAGTGGTGGGGGTCAGAACGGGGGAGCGGGAGCGGTGGGGGTCAGAGCGGGGGGAGCGGGAGCGGTGGGGGTCAGAGCGGTGGGAGCGGTGGGTCAGAACGGGGGAGCGGGAGCGGTCAGAGCGGGGGGCGGTGGGGGTCAGAGCGGGGGGAGCGGGAGTGGTGGGGGTCAGAGCGGGGGGAGTGGGAGTGGTGGGGGTCAGAACGGGGGAGCGGGAGCGGTGGGGGTCAGAGCGGGGGGAGCGGGAGTGGTGGGGGTCAGAGCGGTGGGGGGGGAGCGGGAGTGGTGGGGGTCAGAGCGGGGGGGGGGAGCGGGAGTGGTGGGGGTCAGAGCGGGGGGAGTGTCGGGGGGGGGGGAGTGGTCGGTTGCTCTTCACAGAGTCGGCACAGGGCCTCCTCCTGGGCCGTAAGATTCCGCGTGTTAATCGGGGACCTGTTCAAACGCAAAAGGATTATCACTGTCATTAAATATCCGCGTGAAACACTGTGCAGATATAATACGGGATTATTCAGTCGACACTAACGTCAGCACAACACCCCGCCCGGTGCGCACAGAGGGCGGCAGTGACGGCTGTGCGCGGTGGAGTCCGGGCTCAGCGCTCCCTGTTAGAGCCGTTGCTAAGAGACGAGCGTGAGGCGCTGAGCGGCCGTTATTACAGGTGCCGCCGCGGAGCATGATGGTCAACGGCGAGAGGCTCGCGCCCCGCCCGGCCCCGCCCTCCCGCCCGCGCCGCCCGGCGACAATGGACGTCCGTGTGTGAGGGAGTGAGAGCGAGCGAGTGTGAGGGAGACAGACAGACACCGGCCCAGAGAGGACCCCCCCCCCCCACCCCTCCCCCCTCCCCCGTCCCTCTCCCTCTCTCTCTTGTTTTGGGGTTATACACATCACTAAATGAGGCCGTTAGATGTGGTGGTTCCGCACCGATCATCACGATGATGATGATGATGATGACGACGGCGACCACCACCACCCCCCGGGCCACCAGCCCCCCGAAGGCGCCGCTGCCTCTCAGCGCCCGGGAGCCGCCGACCTTTGCCGCCTTGTGCTCCAGATCGGGGGCCGAGCCGCGTCGGTACCCTCGCAGCCTGGCCCAGGCCCGAGCTCAGGCTCAAGCTCAAATTCGGACCTTAAACCTGAAGCTGGACTTCAGTCTCCGGCCAGACTCCGGAGCGGATCAGTGCGGGAGAGAGCCGGCGGAGCGCACACACCGGAGGAGGTGCACAGACTGGAACAGCACTCGCCGAGGTAGGGCTCAAAATGGACCCTCCGAAACGGGACTCCCGGTGGCTGGTGCTGCCAGTGCGGAGCTGTTGCTTTTTTTTGGGGGGGGCGGGGGGACGGGACGAAAACGCTGCGGGAGGAGTTCACTCCTATCGCACTCACCTCGGCGGCATTATCGTCATTGTTATTATTGATGTTACCGGAGTTGGCCCACGAAATCCACGGTCTTCACCGCACTTCACGGGATGTTGTCCTGTGAAGCGCTTTGAGACCCCCCCCCCCCCCCCCCCCCCGGCGACGTGATGAGGAGCTATATCAAGTGCATGGATTATTATTATATACCGCCGTTCCTTCCTTATACCCTCTTCTTCTGCCCCCCCCCCCCCCCCGCGACACACACACACACGTTTATTTTACCCTATTCCGTTGAAGACTATTAGAATACTTTAGAATATACAGCACAGAAACAAACCATTCGGCCCAACTGGACTGTGCCGGTGTTTATGCTCCACGTGAGCCTCCTCCTGCCCTTCCTCAACTGAGCCTTCAAGTACAACCTTCTATTCCTTTCTCCCTCATGTACCTATCGAGCTTTCCCTGAAATACATCTATGCTATTTGTCTCAACAACTCCTTGCGGTAGCATTGTCCCACATTCCCACTACTCTCTGTGTGAAGACATTTCTTCTAACTTCCCTATTTGGTTCTATTTGTGACTATTTTATATTGATGGCCCCTGGTTTTGGTCTTCCCCACAAGTGGAAACATCTTCCCCAGGTCTACCCTGTCAAAACCTTTCATCATTTTAAAGACTTCTGTCAGGTCACCTCTTACCCTCTTTTCAAGAGAAAAGAGTCCAAGTATGTTCAGTCTTTCCTGATAGGTATAACCTTTCAGTTCTGGGATCATCTTTGTGAATCTCCTTTGCACCCTCTCCAGTGCCTCTACTTCCCTTCTATAATATGGGGACCAGAGCTGCACATAATATTCTAAGTGTGGTCTAACCAAGGTTCTGTAGAAGTTTACCATAACTTCCTTGCTTTTCATTTCTATTTCTCCAGAAATTAACCCTAATGCTTGGTTTGCCTTTTTTTATGGCCTTATTAACCTGCGTTACTATTACTTTTACGAGTGTGCAGTTTCATCAGTATGCATACTGATGAAACTTAACCAGTGAGGTCAAAAAGTGCTTAAACTCACTCCCTTGTAGATGTTGGGATTGGGGTAAAGTTTTTTCAGGACGGCATGACAGATGTCAGGCTCATTTTATTTCCCCAGGCACTTTTACCATCCCTGCGTTACTTACGCTGCTGTTTTCCCGTTAAGTGTTTTTTTCTACCTTCGTGAGCATGGATTATTTCACTCGTTGGAGACATTACAGCGGAATTGTGCTGTGTGAGATGTGACCCGCACTCACAGGAATCTTCCAGTTGGAGCCACTGGATGTTGATTTTCGCTGGAATCACTCAGCTGACTGATTCCTACCCTTCCTAACAGGGACAGTGGAGCCAGTTCCTGTGCTCCTACTGCAGTTATGGCTAAGATTAGCTAAATAACAGAAGTTGTATCAATTTTGAAAGTATCTTGCCATGTGATAGCTTAGAAGTATCAAATTGCATTTTGTTTAGTCACAGAACACTTGCTTTGATTTGCAAAACTCAATAGGGTAATATCTACTTTTCTAACATTTATGTTTACTGTTGAAACAATTGAATACTAAGGATATATTAAACCATCAAAATGATACAATTTCTCAATCCATTTTATACATCTATTTTTAAGGAAAAAAGAACATGCATTTTTGTTTACCTTTTCATCCAGAATGTGTTAAGAGTGCTTCACAGATCATTGTTGTTTTTGTAGGCAAATGTGTTAGATATTTGCATGAGCAAAGCCCCATAAAGAGCAATAAGGAGAATAACAAATTAATCTGAAGGATACTAGATAAAACACTAAGAGAAACTTGCTTTTCTTTTCAAATAATACCAAGGTTCTTTAAGCCCAACCTAAAATACAGGGAGGTTGTTGGTTTAATGTCTTGTCCTGAAAGATGACACCAACCCCAGTGTTGCACTGGAGTATCAGCCTTAACCATGAACTCAAGCCTGATCATCATAGGATCATAGAATTTTACTGCACAGGGGAGACCATTCGGCCCATCGTGTCTGTGCCGGCTCTTTCAAAAGAGCTATGCAAATCAATCCCATTCCCCTGCTCTCTCCTCCACAAATAATTATCTACTTTTCTTAAAAGTTGTTATCTGCAAAGCCCTCCATGGCCTCGCCCCACCCTACCTCTGCGACCTCCTACCAACCCGCCCGCTCCCTCCGCTCAGCCTGCTCCACATCCCCCGACCCACCCGCCCCACCATTGGCGGGAGAGCCTTCAGCCACTCTGCCCCCAAACTCTGGAATTCCATCCCCCAATTACTCCGCCTCGCCCCCTCCTTCGCCTCCTTCAAGTCCTGCCTCAAGACCCTCCTCTTCGACCATGTCATTGATCACCCACCTTCCCCTCCCCTCCCTTCTACCTCCCTGACCCCAGCTCGGGTCTGAAATGCTGCACACTGTCCAGCGCCTTGGGACGTCCTCCCGACATGAAAGGTGCTACACAAATGTAATCTTGTTGTTGTTGTTATCGAATCGGCTTCCACCACCCTTTCAGGCAATGCATTCCAGATCTGAACAATTGGCTGTGTGAAAACATTTCTCCTCACCCTCCCCTCTGTTTCTTTTAACAACTATTTTAAATGGATGCTCTTGGGTTACCGACCCACCTGTCAGCGGAAATAGTTTCTCCTTGTTCACCCTATCGAATCCCCTCATAACTTTGAAAACTTCTATTTAGATTCCTCTAATCCTTGCTTCTCTAGCCTCTCCTCATAACTGAAGTCCCTCATTCCTTGTAACATCCTGGTAAATCTCACTTGCACCCTCTCCAATGCCTTGACATCAGTCCTAAGTGTGAAGCCCAGAACTGAACACAATATTCTAGCTGAGACCTAACCAGTGTTTTTTGTAAATGTTCATCATAACTTCCTGACCTGCATTCTGTGCCCCTATTTATAAAGCCTAGCATCCTGTATGCTTTTTAACAGCTTTATCTACCTGTCCTGCCACCTTCAAATATTTACCTGTATGAACCCCCCCCCCCCCCCCAGGTCTCTCTGTTCCTTCACCCCCTTTAAGATTGTACCATCTAGTTTATATTGCCTCACCTCATTCTTCCTCCCAAAATATATCACTTCGCATTTCTCCACATTAACTTAATCTGCCACATGTCTGCCCATTTTACCAGTCTTTATGTCCCCTTGCAGTCTGCTACTATCCACCTCACTGTTTACTACTTTTCCTAGCTTAGTATCATCTGCAAACTTGGAAATTGTACTCCCTATCCCCAAGTCCAGGTCATTTATATAGATCAAGAACAGCAGTGGTCCCAATACCAACCCCTGGGGGGGAGCACCATTACACATTTCCCTCCAGTCAGAAAAACAGCCGTTCACCACCACTCTACTTTCTGTCTCCCAGCCAGTTTTGTATCCATGCTGCCACTGTCCCTTTAATACCGTGGGCTTGTATTTTGCTTACAAGTCTCTTATGTGTCATTTTATCAAACGCCTTTTCAAAATCCATATAAACTACATCAACTGCACTACCTTCATCCACCCTCTCCGTTACTTCATTGAAAAACTCTTAGCAGGTTTGTATCTTCTCCTTGAAAGTTTCCCGTTGCTCGTTAGCTGTTTTACCTGCCAATCTTTCCTTCCGGTTCACCTTGGCTATGTCCCTTTTTAACTCACAGAAATTAGCCCTCTTCCAGTTGAGTATCTTCACCTTTGATGTGGGCTTTAACCATTCACATTCTGTTCCAAAAATGAAAGTATAGCTAACTGAGCAAAACTGACACACATGAACAAATATGTGGATACATATTAACAAATCTTTGTTTGTGAGAGTTTAGGACATAGACATATTCAGGACTCAATATTTATCTTCTCTAGAAATATTTAGGACTTTTGGAAGAGGTTTTATCAAGTATATTATTTGGCTTCAATGTACTAATTAGAATCTTGAAACATTCAATAAGATACCTCTGCATTTTTCCTCAGTGTAAACATATGTTCCAGTTTTTGTAGCCTCTTTTTTTTCTTGAATGCTTAATTCTCGGTATGAATTGAGTTTCATTCTGTTGTGTCCACTCTTGTTGCTGGATGTCTCTACAGCAGTATGTTGATGAGAAATGGTGGGATTTTATTTACTATGTATACTGCTGCTGTACTGATTGATGGTTTCAGCAAATTCTCCACCAATAATATATTTCCATTGCCTATTCTCCTTCTCCAGTCCTTTCATTAATCCATATAACTATATACCTATGACTTGTCAGTTCAAGCTCTCTATCAATTTAAATTATTTTGTATTTGGTCTGCTTGCTCCGTTTTGTTTGCATTGTCACTTCGATTGTTTTTCTATTTGTTATTGACAGACAACTTTGTTTTTGTTCCCATTTCCAAACAATTTATAATGAGGGAATGCAAAGAATTGTGTTTATCTTTTGCGCGTCATCAAGCCTAATATGGGAATTGTACAAAAATAGAGATACATCTTGCTATATGTTAATTACTGTTAGGGAAGAATAACTGATATATTGCTTGCTAATCTGGTCAATATTTAATAGTTGATACTTGGCACTGTAGATACACGTTTTCAGACCTGGTAGAACAGCTACAGCCACTCCCTTAAATCCCAAACCCGGGCGCTCAAGAACAGATGGAGTAAAACCGGCATCATAGTTCACCACCAGATGTGTATCGAGCATCTTTGAACCTACAGCCTCTCCCCCTTCTACGCTCAACCATTATTAACATAATGTGTGCTCAGCACGTGTAGAAATCTCATTTAATAATAATAATTAATAATAATCCTTATATTTGGTATGGTGCCTTCCATGTTGGGAGGATAGCCTAAAGAACTTCACAGGGTATACTGTAAAATGAAGTGACTGTGTGTTTTGTGGGTGAATGCGGCAGCCAATTTGCACATAGCAAACAGCCATGAAGTGAATGAACAATTTTATTTGGAGATTGTTGGGCAGGACACTGGGCGAAACTCCCTTTTCTTTTCGAATAGTGCCATGGGATCTTTAATATCCACCTGAACATATCAAAGCAAGGATTATTATCATTATAAATAACATTCACTTAGTTTCTAATTAATTTTACTTTTTTGCAAATGTTTTAAGTGAATGATTTGATGTGAATATGCAATATTGATTCAAATTGTTGTTATCCTAATCAGCATGCAATTGTTTTACTAAAGTTTTCCTTCTCACTTTTTGATGCTTTCCAAAATTTGTGCTGTACATTTTGGGGCTCATGTAAAATAACTGACCCTCTGTAAGTACGCATGGCAAGCTGACTCAGTGGTAGCTCTCTCACCTTTGAGTCAGAAGGTTATGGGTTCAATCTCAATGTTGGGACTTTGAAACACATAGTCTAAACTATGGAGTCCTGTAGCTCAGTGGTTAGAGAACTCGCCTCTCAAGCGAGAGACCTGGGTTCGATTCCCGGCAGGGTGAAACCTTGGGTAAGTTTCCTCAATCCACATGCCTAATAGTGATCTCTCAAGAAAAAACAACCCAATAATAAATTGGTTACTTCAATCCACGACAATTTGTGGGACACTGCTGGGCCCAATTTGACTGCTGCATTTCGCCCACAAAACGTGCAGTCAATTCACTTTACAGTATATTCTGTGAAGCGCTTTGAGACTTCTGGAAGACATGAAAAGCACTATATCAAATGCAAGGATTATTATTATTATTAAACTGACACTCCAATTCATTACTGGGGTGCACATCGGATGAAGGTGCATCCTTTGGATGAGGCATTAAACCATCTGCCTGTTTAGGTGGACATTAAAGATCCCATGACATTATTCGAAAAAGAAGGGAGTTTCCCCTGTCTCCTGGCCAACAAATCCCCCAAATAAAATTGGTCACAAACATGGCTATTTGTGGGACATTGTTATGCGCAACTGGCTGCCACAAAATATACAGTCAAACCACTTCACAGCTTATACATGAAGCACTTTGAGATGTCTCGACAATGTGATAGGCACTATATCAAATGCAAGGATGATTAATTTTGCACCCTGAAAGCAATAAATGGTACACCATGTGACTACTCTGCTGTTGGGATCAGTTGATATTGATGGGCATACTGGAATATTATGACAACAGTGCTCAGTAGAGATGGGAAATAAAATTATTTACAGCCAATGGGGGAAAACTAGGAGCAACAGACTAAATGTTGGATGCCAGCCCCCTATGTAACTAACTTTAAAACCATGACAGCAAAAACAGATTGGAAATGTGGGCGATTTTTTGTTTTTTGTAAAAGGTTGATCAGCAAGTGGAACAAGCTGTAAGCACAATGAACTATACAAGGTTTCAAAAAAGGAATTTCTAGAAATTAAAATATTTCAGGGTGATTAGATGAAGTCATACATGTGTCATTAATTTTTTTTGGCGAGTATGTCAGATAGATGGATCAATGTCTACTCCTGCCTGAAACCGTTAGTATGTTACTATTATGAATTCATGTTATTGTATTGATCACCTGTGTGATCTGGAGAATATGTTACATGCTTCTTGATCCAAGGATGAACCAATGCACTGCTCTGCATTATGGTAGGACACAGGTTCTTGATTTTGGCCTTTTGTGCATCCCCACAGGGAGAGAGAATTTGTAGCACAAGTCTCCCCAGGCCTTACTCGTAGAGTTTCTGCAGGTGGGTACAATCTGGCAATGGTAGATTTTCTGTAAGCCTTCATTTAGCGGGTGTAATGGCGGGAGTGGGGAGGTCAGGAATCCCACATGCGTGATAACATTGAGTCTAGAACTACATCTCCCTACTGCTCTCAATACTCCAATCTTTCGCTTTTCATTGTAGTTCCTCACTTTCAGATCATTATGTACAATGGAAATTGAAGAGCGACCCTTGTTTCCATGCATGCATGCAGACAACTTTGACAAATGTTTTAATTCTTTATGCTCAGATTATGTCAGAACTAAATACTTGCTTCCTCACTATTGGAAAAAGGATTCAGAGATGAGATGCCTCATCCTTATTCCTGAAAGGAATCTTGTAACATCTGAGAATTGAGATTATTTTAAATGTTTTAGAGGCAACAAATCATGGAATACAAGTTTTAAGGTGACTGTGACAAATAGGCAAAATTGCTGGTGGTAAGGGGAGAGAGGAGAACAATTACTGGAAATGATGGGATTTGTTAAAATAAAAGCCCAGATCTTTTAGATAGTGTCATGCCTTTACAGGATACTTTCACAAATTATCCTTGTCTGTGTTGCTTCTTTGAAATTAGATTTTCTTAAAACCAGTTTTAGCTGTTAGGACTTTGGGTAGAAACAAAAATATTTCTATGAAAAAAATTTACATCTGAATAAAAGTGGGTTATTGATCATGACATCAAGATGTTGCTGTGTAAAAATAATCAGCATAGATTTTATTACTTAGCCTGTAATATTTTTTCATTGAAAAAAACATAATATTTAGCATTTCATAAATCTATAAAAGCATACCATTATAAAAGTTGATCCAACACTGGTATTTTCCCTCAGAGCTTAGAATATTATGTTTGCAAATTTTTCTCCTCTCCTAAAAATATTTAAACACTTTTTACTTTCACTGATGTAGTTCCATTGGTGCTGTTTTGGCACCTCACCCAAGTGAATATGTTAGCTCTAAACAGTGAGTTTGCCAGGTTATGTGGTCTCTGGGTATCACAGATAAGCCTATACTGACCCAATATACACAAACTTTGAAACTAGGGGGTTCTGGATAAACTTACCTGAAGTTTTCCCCTTCCTGAAACAACAGCAGCAAATTATTTAATTAATTAAAATGCCTTTCACGTCGGGAGGATGTCCCAAGGCGCTGGACATTCAGGGACCTGACCAGAGGGTTGGGATCGGGGTGGTGGAGAGAAGGGAGGGTAAGTGTAGGAGGATGGCTAAGTGCATGGTTAAAGAGGAGAGTCTTGTGACGTACTTTGAAGGAGGCGAGGGAGGGAGCAAGACAAAGGGACTGGGGGATGGAGTTTCAAAGGGCGGGGGCAGAGAAGCTGAAGATCCAGCCGCCGATGGTGGGGCGGGCTGGGCTGTGCTGGGGAAAATATACATATTGTTTATATAGTTCAGGGATTCTTGAAGTTATTTCAATTTGGCCAGCTAAACCTAAATTGAAACACAATTTCAGCCAAACTCCACAATTTTGCTCACAAATGTATTGGGTCTATTAACTCCCTTTACAGTTATAAAAGGATTCACTGCTTCAGGTTCAATACCTCTTTCCCTGTCTCCCAAAACATGGAACAAATGCTGAGCGAGCTCCATAGAGTAGACTTAACATTCTGCAATCTCCCAAAATAAATGTTTAGACTTTTGCTTAGCTTGTCTGTTAGTTTACTATGCTTCTTACTGACATGATAAAGTCAACCTATAGTTGGTGGGGTGGAATTCCCTGAAACTTATCTTTAGTATAAAATGTACAGTATTTATTAAAGACACTAAAGTACACCGAAGGAATACTTCAGGTTTGCTATCCAATCAGTCATTAAATTAATAGAATATACATCAAAGTTCAATGAATTTCTTTCGCTTTCTAATTAAAATTATTAATATAATTTGGGTTAACTATGCTTTTCCTCCTTTCTCAATGTATCTGTCATGAAATTTAATCCACTGCCAACTCTCAAAGCACAGTGCCTTTCACCATAAACACTGACTGCATGGTGGGATATTCCTTAAATAGTGTATGGGGTTTTTGGTCAGCAGAAACCACTGTTATGCTTAAGAGTATCCAAACCAGACTGAGAGTTCCAAATATATATGCTGCCTACGCATGAGCCCTAGTGGATAGCGGGTAACAGGAATTCCCTGTGAGCTTCCTGGTGACCAGCACATTGCTACTTTCTTCTGCCCTCAGCTCGGACACATATTCCTTTCCATTGAGCGACGATTCTACCAGTCATAGATGAGGAGCTTGATCAGCAACTGCTTACCTCTCTACATACCAACCGAGGACACCAAGCCCTGGTTATATGTGTTCACAAACCTGGACTCCAGCGAACCCCTACCAGCAGTTATTGTCCCAAGCCTCAGAGTTTCCTCAGCAGCTATTCAACAGCTATCTGCCTTCAGTGCAATGGGAGGGCCTATACAGACTTATTATTCTGGGTTAAGAAAAGAGTGACCCCAGCTTGATGCATCCATGAGGGAGAAGGGAATAAAGAATAGGAGGGGTAGACTCTTGTGCATAAACATTGGCTAAAAGCATAAACTAGTTGGACTGAATGGCCTGTTTCTGTGCTGTATAATTCTGTATAATTTTATGGAGAGGGAACTTTTATCTTACTTGATCACTAGTGATATGCCCTGTATGGGGAATGAAATGAGAAAATTTCAAATGTCACAATTTTAGTGTATATACAATATGAGTGAAAGCAATGAGGCCAATTCTTGAAAATGTGCATTGGGAAAGAGGTAACACAGTACTAATGCCAATATATATTTAGATTTAAAACTGGAAGTTACAAGAAATCCATTGGAATTCCTAAAATTTTGAGTAACACACGTGGACTGTTCCTTTTAGTTTGATCAATAATTTTAACACATCTAATAATGTCCACATTTTATTTTTATAAGTATGAGGGATTCGTGTTTTAGACATGTGTACGGACACCTGATGTGATTGTTTTTTAACTTTATATTTTATTTTTTCCCCCACTGTTTAGGTCTTCCACCGCTGTCTCCGGCCACCCCACTTCCTCCCTCACTTGGTGGGAGGGTGAGATTCTCTGGGTCAAAGGCTGTTTCACGGCTGCCATCAATGCTGCTCTGTGATTGGCCGATAGGCGAACTTCCACAGGGTGAGACTGTCCTGTCAGTTTTCCTCCATATTTCACTCTTTTTTTCCTACCTCCTGACAAGGATGACACGGAGCTCACCGAACATTTAGTTCTGCCCATTTTATGGCCTTCACCAATACTAATTTCTAGTCAACTGGTGGGAGTGATGAAATAAAATTGGAATTTAAATCACAAGTGACTTATTTATTTTGATTATGCTCTTCTATTAGCTTAACGACTTATAAGCCTGGGACGCCTGGATCTAATTATTAGTCAATGCTAGGATTTGAACCTCAATCTCCTTATTGTGTAATGCAACTTGAGTCAATACACCTAATTTGTTTCTGTGAAAACAAATGCTAGTTGTAGTCCTAAGAATGTGTCAAGCGTTGCTGTAAAGGGGAACCTACTGCAAGAGGACTGGAAATGTTCCATTTTGAACATCTGCATCACCTGCTGACCAGCTTGGTGTAACGAGAATCTTCAATGCCCTTTGTGCTCCAGGATGCCTTTTCTCTCCACTTTTGGATATGCCTGATAATGATTGCTACATATTTGTCAAAATATACCGTATTTTCTCTTAGTACTTAGGTCCTGCTCAATTTGTATTTTTTTGTACTCTCACTTTTAGTGACATTTTCTTCATATGAAAGTCACAGTTATTATTTGCTTTAAGTTTATCAAGTAAAACTGGACTTTTGCATGTGTAAAGAGATAAAGCTGTTCCGTTAATATAATAGAAGTTTTGTTACAATCCATCAGTGGTAAAATGGATGTTTGTGCATTCCTTCTATTTATTAGCACAGAAATGGAAATAAGTGGAATGCGGAACTCATAATTTAAGAAAAAGCTTGATAATATAATGGGAGAACAATAGGTGGGTATTCTGGAAAAATGGGATCAAATGGACCAAAGGGCCTTCTTCATTTGCACCTTGTTTGTGGTCTTGTGAAGATGCTTCCCTGAATTAAGGATTTTTAGAAACTAAAGAAATTCAACTGGCATATTTATATGAGTAGATTGTCTCCAATCTCAAATCATTATTTTCCAGTGTACCCAGTCCCAAAATGATCAGTGGGATTGCACAGTATGGCAATAATTGGTTCTTGGGTGATCAAATGGCACGTTACTGCCAACTTTGATCTACACACCTACATTTTAATGATTTTCTTTGCTTGATAGGAATAAATTAACTAAAACACACAGTCTCCTGTTGAAGGCTTCTTTCTTTTGCTCTCCGAATCGTGTGAACTTTAAAAAACACAAAGTGAACCCTTTGTTCACACCAGTACTATAGAATATATTTGAGTAGAACACTATTCAGCCGAATGGTGGTAATTGTACTAACTATGAAACTATCAGGAAAAAAATTAGAGCATGTTATACCTTTTTTTATATAGAGTCACAAGTGACAGAGATGAAGTTGGCAGACTCTTCATGTTTTGTAAGAGGGTAAGTATTACAATGGAAACATTTCAAAGTACCTTTTTAACTGAACAACGCATTCAACATCTAAGTGTGATGTTTATTAGGGACATGGTGACAATCTACTTAACTATGTGGGGGAGAAGGTTTGCAACAATCTATAAATGGTAAAATGGATGCTTGTGCATTTCTTCTATTTAGTACCACAACATTGAAAGAAGTGAATTCATCAGATTTGCCGTGTAGTGCCAAATATTATAAATAGATCTGTGCTGTCAATGTATACAAGCTTTTTTCAAGCCCTTTTATTTCACACAAACCTCCAGTTTTCAAGTTATTTTTATGCAACTTATATTAATAATTTATATACAACTGATAACTCCTTCCTCTCCCTTCACAAATCGGGTTTCCGTGCCGCCCACAGCACAGAAACAGTTTGGTCAAAATGACAAATTACATTTTGTCCATCTGTGACCAAAACTTCCTCTGCCTCCTCGTCCTCCTTGACCTCTCTGTTGCCTTCGATACCGCTAACCACTTTATCCTCCTCCATCTCCTCTCTCACCTCAACCTTCATGGTTCTGTCCGTGAATGATCAGATCCTATCTCTCACATGCTCTCCACTTCATCTCCACAGACAACTCCTTCTCTAGCCCCCGCACCGTCTCATGCGGAGTTCCTCAGTCCATCATCTGCAGACATGGGGTCAATTTCCAAACGAATGCGGATGACACACGATTCTACCTCTCTGCCTCCATCCTTGACTACAGGACCACTGATGTTCTGACAGAATGTCTGTCAGACATCAAGTCCTGGATGAGAGCCAACTTTCTACAGATGAACGTCAACAAGAACGAGGTTCTCTTGATTGGCTCCAGTCAGGACATCCACACCTCAGGCATTGATAGCATCACCATCCAAAGGATGCACACTCCACTTTACTAAGCCAGTCCAGATCCTTGACGTCTTGTTCGAGCCTCAACTATCCTTTCTACTCCATATCCGTGCCATGTCCCGCCTCTGCCTTCCATACCTCCGCAACATCGCCCGGCTCCGCCACTGTCTCACATTGCAGGCTGCCAAAACCCTCATACCTGCATTTCATAACATCCTAAGCAAATTCACTGCTTGTCAGCCTCCCCAACTCCTCCCACCATAGGTTGCAAATCATCCAGAACTCTGCAGCCTGTATCCTCTCCCGCACCAGGCTCCCCCATCCTCGCCCGAATCCACTGGCTTCCCATCACACAGAGGACACAGTTCAAGATCACCTTCAAAGCCCTTGCTCCCCCCTACCTCTGCAACCTCCTAACCCCCTACCAATCTGTCTGCCCCCTCCCATCAGCGGGCTCCAGCCATTGGTGGCCGGGCCTTCTGCCACTCTGCCCCTACCCTCTGGAACTCCATCCCACAGTCCCTTCTCCTCGCCCCCTCCCTTGCCTCCTTCAAGACCCATCTCAAGACCCTCCTCTTCAACCGTGCCTTCAAACACCCGCCTTTCATTGGTCACTCTTGACCACTGGAATTTTGATGTTTTCATACTTTCCTTCTATCTTGAGGAAGATACTACATTGGTAGTGCAATGTGGAGGATTTTGAGAAGGGAAAAAATAGTAAAGATTACCCATAATTAAGTTATTCATTCATCAAATATGAAAACTTCCTCCAAACACAAAGTGCCATCCCCTCCTATGCCAGGTAATTAACATTTGTGTTAATAAAACAGGTGTTTGCTTCATTTTCCAGTTTGAAAGAAGAGCAAGAATGGAGAAGGCAAAGCTCTAAGGATGAATGTATTTATCGAACGTTATCTGAAGATCTCTCAGATGCTCGGTTTCCATTTGACTGGAACAGAAAAAATGGTGTGATACTTGGTGGAGATAAGGGTAAAATCAAAGTTAACATTTAAACCAATTATATTCTGTTTGCAATACATCTTTCCAGTTTTTTAAAATCTAGGTTTGTTTGCTAATCCTTGTAAAGTTCTATATAGAATTCCCCCAAAAGATAAGTAATTTGGTCACTCAATCCACGACTGCTTGTGGGATACCACTGTGCGCAATAGCTGCTGCATTTTGCCCACAAAACACACAGTCACTACACTTTACAGTATATTCTGTGAAGCGTTTTGAGACGTCTTGAAGACGCGATAAGGCGCTATATCAAACGCAAGGATTTATAATGTTAGGTGTTGCTAAATTTGACCAATTTGTGCACTTTAGCTGAGAGACTTATTTTGAAGTATCTGTTCACATTTTCTCTCCTGAGCTCCAGTTTGTGTGACGTTATAGATTTTCTACCATGTTAAACATTAAATATTACGATGCAGCCCTATTATAAATTCCTTCTATGTAGTACAAATTGGTTATAATGTATTTGCACTGTGTATCCCTCCACACCGCTTGCATGCCAGCCCACATACCTATGAACCAATCTTATTATAATAATCTTTACATTAGATATAATGCATAATCAAGTTATTGAGATATCTCGTAGTACTACACAAAATTTTACTATTAAGTCCGGTGACTATGTATTGTAGGCAAAGGCAGCAGCTAATTTGTTCATAGCATTGTCTCAAAAATAGCGTGACCTCTTGTCGAGATGTCTTGGATTACTGTCTCAAAGTTAACTCAGTTTGGTCACAAATCCTCTTATTTTACTAACTAATTCTAAAGTGGGATTTTCATCTTTTGTCACACAATTTCCCTAATCTTTCATGTTGCTAATCTGTTTGCTTTCCAATCTGCAACATTGGATTCGGGCAGTAGAGGGTAGTATAGCATCAACCTGATTCATTTCCCGAATTTGAAAGATGTCATTTGAAAGTTCAACTTGTTATTTTTGATCATTTGAACAAAGTATTTTACACATTATATGTATAGCGAAAAGGGCGGCCGTAGTTGACCAAGCAATGCGAAACTTGCCAGACAGTGTTTTCATTGGCAAGCTGTGCGTTTCTTGGTGGTTAAATTCCAGCAGCACCCCAACAGCCAAACCTAGGTTGTATTATTTTTAGAGAAAGAGTGTGCAATCCATTGCAAACAGAATTTGTATACATATATGGAAATCTCAAGTTTGGTTTGGATACTCAAATATGGTGCTGGGTTTCTGCTTTTCAGACAACTGATGATTAAAAACATTCTGTCTGAATATAACTCTTGTGGTATTCTTGCTATTTAACAGTACATAAATTTGGATGCAAGGACAAAAAACAAGTTGTATATTTATGTCAGTGAAGTTCACTTGTTTCATTATTGTGCTACTAAATAGCTGACCAAATAAGCCTGGTCTGGTTTCTGCTCTCTGGTCTCTTGTTTGTCCCTCATTCCCTGTCTCGCCATCACTAGTCAAAGCGGCTCTCTGGAACTTTCTCCTAAAAAGCCTTCATCTTACGCCTGCTCTTCCTGCTTTAAAAAAACTCTTTTTAAAAAAACGTTTCTAGTTAATCTATCTCTGGCCTCCAGTTAACACCTTTAAATTCTTCTTCCTCTCTTCCCTGCTTGATGCTCCCAATCATCTCTGTGAAGTGCTTCAAGATGTTCATCCTACATGAAAGGTGCTATGTAAGTGCAAGTTGTTGGTGCAATCTCACCTTCTTCCGTTGAAGTTACTTGGGGCAAGTGGCTTAGCCCATTTGATCTCATTCTTCCAGAATACCTATCCTATTGTTTTCCCATTACAGCATCAGGCTGTTTGTCAAAAGAGTCAAGCACCCTGACCAGTGATTAATTATCCTCTGTGTAAAGGAAAATGCTTCCTTGAGTCTGTCCTGAATTGTCCTGCAAAAATGCTGAACCTGCTTTGAAAGTATTGTTCTCAGTCAGTGCCATTTTATGCACCACTGGAAGAGAGTGAGATTTATGGTATGCCACGGTCCAATTATTTACTTCAATAAATTTATAACTTTTTTTTACAAAATTGCTCCATTTTAAACGGTACTGTTTAGTTTAACTGGACACATTCTTTTAACAATTTTGAACAGTTTCCCCAACCTTTATAAAAAGTTACACTGGAGAATTTCTATGAACGATGCTCAACCTATTTATAATTTATCTCTAAAAATGTGTTAAATATTTATTTGTGCACTTAATTTTATATACAGTGCCAGACTTCAAAATACAGTTTCTCATAGCAAGAGATGGTGATATTGAGCAACATAACACATAAACTACCTCACAGAAATGAGCTACAAAAATAACCAGTTTGCCAAAAATCAATAAATAATTTGGAAAGTGAAATTGTTTCTCTTGATCAGCAACATGAAAACAAATAATTTCCACCTTTATTCACACCAGTCATCATGCACTTCCTGCTTTTGTGGTTGCTTATACATTGGGATTTTATCGCTCGGGAACAAATACAGTAGTTTATGCTGCCATAGCTCGAATAAAGCTAACGTGAATTTGAGGTACTCAAAGACTTGCTTTTGGCTCAACTTTACCATGTGTATATATTTTTATAATGCAGATTCATGTGGATTGTCAGCTGTATTATAAACTTCGCTTCTTGCAGTGATTTGTGTACGTTAGTGAAGTTTAAAAATTATCCTGTGGCTCTTTGTGTTTGTGTGTATGTAAAAACGACTGCTGAGTGTTTATTTTTCTCAGATTGGTGGATTTATTTTGTTGACCAAACAACATCTAGAAATTACAGTGTATATACTTACCAATTTAATGTACCAAGACCTTTTCTTTTGTTTGCAGTTTTTGCCTCTGAGCTGAAACGATGCGATGAAAAAGGTAGAATACCAGTAAGGACGCAACCACGTGGAATTTATGGGTTTAAAGCTAAAAATATTCATCGATTATTTAGCAAAGAATCCACATATGCTACATCGGAAACATTGACTTTGAGGTAAGGGAAGGTTTCTATTTTAAAAGCAATTTTCTTTTCTTACCATCAACCTATTTTTTCGAGTGTATGTTAGGTGTTCCTTTCCTTTCCACACACTATTTTATAATGAAGACAGTATTTTGTACTGAAGAGTTCAGGTTGTGGGTTCAAGCCCCAAGTCAAAACTCATAAGCTAAACTGGCACCAGCCATGCTGGGGTAAGCTGTATTTTGAGGTGCCATTGTTGGGTGAGATGTTAAACTGAGGCGTTGTCGACCTATTCAGGTGGACACAAAGGTTCTATGACACTATCTGAAAGCAGGCAGTTTCTCCCAGTGTTCTCGCCAACAGTCCCCCAAATGGTTGGACTAATGAAATCAGAGGCATGCCAGCGAGAAATAAAGTTGGCTTTAGTCTTGTTGATATTCTGCAGCAGAAAGTTATGTACAGAAGAGGAGCAGACTTTGAATCAAGTGGGTTGGTGGAGCAGTAATGTTTGGTATCATGAGCTAACTAATGAGAGAGAATCATGTGAATATGAATGATTTTGCCAAAGATAGCACGTAAAAGAAGAGTGGACAAAGTAGAGAGCCCTGAGGTAAATGTGGAAAATTACATTTACATTGGTGGTCCTTTGATACTGGCATGACATTTCAGAAGTTTGTGTACATTTTACCTCAGCAAGGCTCCTGCTTCATTAGTGGGGCCCATGATTTGAGAACCACTGGCATACATGAATGTTAATTTATTTTTCTTTACCTAGTGGGGTACAAGTTTAAAAATAAAATTATCACTACTTTGATATTACAGACCTGGGATTGGAGAAGGCTTGACCTGTATGGCAGCAAGTTTATTTCCTTCTACCTCAGCTCATAACGATAGAGAACCATTCCACATTCATGGAGAAAAGTTGTGGTATGATTTATTGTAGTATAGTACCTTAGATGGCTTTTAAAGAGAAAAAATAACATTTCTGCTAGAAATAAATTCTGCTAGAAGACTTGGGGTTGCTCATGTAAGGCCCTGCCTTGTTGGGGGGTAAACATTTAAAGGTCCATTAATAAGAGATCAAATTTAACACTTTGAAAGGAATGGATTAACCAAGCTCAGCTTGATAATAATTTAATGCATTTATAAAAGGCAGCTGTGTTCTGGTGATTTAATAGACTTTTGGAGGAAATAACAGAATGTGTATTCCTCAATTGGAGCAAGCTTAGAGGAAGAATAATCCACAGAACCATTACCAAGTGGGATTCCACTGGCAAGGCGTATTTTCTTTTCATTGGATGGGAAGTGTCTACAATGAATCTACTTTTACTGTCTTAAACCACAGGCCGCTGGGATCCTCATACACGCATTCATAACATCCAAGCTTGACTATGCAAACTCCCTGCTTGTCGGCCTCTCCAACTCCTCCCTCCATAGGCTGTGGATCATCCAAAACTCTGCAACCCGCGTCCTCTCCTGCACCAGGCTCCGTGATCCTATCAACCCCATCCTCGCCCGACTCTACTGGCTTCCCATCACATAGAGGATACAGTTCAAGATCCTGGTCCTCACCTTCAAAGCCCACCATGGCCTTGCTCCCCCCTACCTCTGCGACTTCCTAACCCCTACCGTCGTGCGTGCTCCCTCCACTCAGCAGGCTCCAGCTTGCTTCACGTCCCCCAACTCGCCCGCCCCACCATTGGCAGTGGTCCTTCAGCCACTCAACTCCATTCCTCAGGCCCTCCGCCCCGGCCCTCTCTTACCTCCTTCAAGACCTTCCTCTTCGACCATGGCTTTGATCACACTGTTTCCTCCCTGCCCTCCACTCTCCCCAATCCTGACCCCCAGCTCGGGACTGAAACACTGATTGTCCAGCGCCTTGGGATGTCCTCCCAATGTGAAAGGCGCTATACAAATGTAATTATGCATTTGTTGTTTTAAAGTCCACTGGTTACATTTAAAATTGTTTCAAGAATTAATTAAATGATAGAATTCATAGAAGTTACTCAGCAGCTTTTCATTTAACTTGAGAGAACGTGCATAAACTTTCTCATTACTGCTCGTTGAAAAGTTTATATAATTGATGGTAATCATTAATTTCAAGACACTACTGTTTTAGCTGATTTAATTTTTCTCTTTAGCTGTGCATAATTTCAATGTTTATTTTCCTCACTTAGCCCGAAGATGCATAATGGATTCTACACCATACTATCACCTCATCACAAACGTAAGCCAAACATCAAATGATGTATTGATATAATGCATGATGTGGTGATATTTCAATTTAAGACCTCCATTAATTGTATTTAATACCTTCTATCATTTTTTAACTTGCAGCTAAAAAATTCACCCAAACCTTAAAACCAATCAGACCACATCTCTCCCCCCACCCCAAAAAGGAGCAACTTCTTCCAATGCTCCCTCCCCCTTAATTCTTTGAATGGCAACAACAACAAATTGCATTTATATAGCACATTTCACATTGGAAGGACATCCCAAGGCGTTGGAGAGCTGTAGGTCAGCCTGAGTTTATACCATATTGAGATTAAGTTTTCACTATTTATCCTGTCAAAACCTTTCAGTATTTTCAAGATATCTTTAGGTTTTCCCTCTTAACCTTTGCTGTTTCATTCTAAAAACTTTTCTCCTAACTTGATCACAAATATTTGCCTTATCAACCTTGGGATAGTTAAATTATCCCATTATTACAGCCTTATTATTGTCAGTTGCCTGCTAATCCCATCCTTTCTTTCTCAAGATTTCAGTCATTCAGAATATATGCAGATCTTTTATTTATTAACTGAAACCAGACTCCCATTTGAACACTACCTTCCAAATATTTTTCCATTCCTGCCTTAATTACACTGCTAAGTGTCAGTGCAGCTAAATTATACAAGTCTTCTCAGAATTTGTGCTCAATGAACTGATTAATTTATACTCGTTTTTGTTTATGCAGCATTTGCCTACCACGACTCCATCAATGGGGCACCATATGCATTCATACATAGACTGAGGGAAATATCTGGCTTAGAAGCAGATACTATACGTCAAGAAAAGTTACAAAAACTGAAGAAAAGACCAGAAAACTGAAGATATTTAAATTGTCGAACTATCTGTTAAATGTTTTGACGTTTGAAAAAAATTGTTGAACGTGTATCGTATGTGGGATTGGTTCAACCCAAAAAATATAACTACGTTTGCCAAACTAAGCTGTTTGGTCAGGATTTCATATTACCCTGCACCTTACAAAAATATTAAATGTATATTGATGTATACAGAAGTGCAATAAAGTGTCAAAAGTCTTCATTGGAATGCATTTAAGAACTGAAAATTACACTCTGGTTTCTCAATGTTGATATTGCTTCTGTGCCAGTAAACTTTAAATTGGAAAATTCTGCAGTTCCCCAAATCCTCAGAATATTCGAGTTTAAAAGGAAGATAGGAAATTATAGAGGAACAGTAGGAGGGATGCAACAATCCTATCTATGTTCATAGTATCTGAAAGGCTAAATTTATGCAATTTATTAGATAATAAATTGGGAAGACAGATTAGAGAACTGGGAAATTACAAAAGATGTTTTGTTACCTTTCACAGATTAACACTGTGGTCAAATTCCAGATCCATTCATTTTGCCTGGCCTCAGAAATCTTTCACACAAGTAAATGTCAGTATATTTTATGAAGAAACCAAATTAAATGACTTGGTACCTGGGCCTGGTGGGTACACACAAAAACCTCAGATGTCAGAGAGGAAATAGGACAGTATTTACCTAATATTTTAGTTACTACATAAACTCTGAAGGGGTGCTGGAGGATAGAATATATCATGACAATCAAAATAATAGAATATTTTAGAGCAGTTAGCTCAAAATTCAGTGGGAAAATGTTTCAGAGCAGGATATAGGATGTTATTAGGGCTCATCCTCAGGATGTGAGCCTGTTATTGCTGATATGCAGAAACAAGTACAAATTGTTGGCAGGTCTCCATTAATGGAGGAATTGTCTGATAGTTTCCCTCCAGGCATTTCATCCTTCCAAAACTAAATTCATCTGTTGAACTGGAGAAAGGCAAGTATGGCTTAGTAATCTTTTTGAAAACCATTACGGAGAAACTTGCAGCATTATTCAGTTGGGAAGGTACATCAAAAACAGTTAAGGCCAGGCAAAACAATGCATAGCAGTATGGGAAGAGAATAGTGCAAATAAGTTTTGCTGACAAAAAACATGGAGGTAATTTAATTTTGTTTTAAAATTGATTTACAGCATAACTAATTGGTATCTAAATCTCTGAAGCAGTCTTAGTGATTGCACTAATATCAGTTCAATACATACATGCATTTAAAAGCAGATCAAATATTGTAACAATGCCTTCCCTTTACTGTAACAATGATCTATAGATAAAACCATTGGGAATCTGAACGCTCAGGCTTGAAAATTTGCAAGATTTAATGCAGATATGTCGGAAATGCCACAATACAACAGTTGCTGAACAGCCCAAAAGTTATCTGTCAACCTAACTGGTTCCACACATCTCTGCTGATATTTTTTCTAATTTGGGGAACACTTGGAAAAAATAGTTATAGATAGGTTCGCTGTTTTATATTGTCTGGAAAATGATTAGTGAAATAATTCAAGCTCTGTTTTGCCAAGCTTACCTATGTATGTACCTCAGCAGCCACCGCAAGCAGAAGACAGGTGCAGAAATGTGTCAATAATCAGATATTCCATTGAACTCTGGAATTGGGCACTATTATTTTCAAATGGCCATATTTACAGTGCTGACATTCCTATTATTTTTGCTCCAAACTGCATATCTTTGGTTTGCTTTTGTACAACAGATCCTTTGTTTTAGGCACAATTAAGAATGACACACTGCAAGATATAGTACAATAAAAATCAATTGATTCACTTATGTAGTATGTTTCTTTATGTGCTTCTGGATTTCCCTTTTAAGTATTGTACGTGGTGTCCTGTAGCTCAGTGGTTAGGGCACTCGCTTTGCAAGTGAGAGACCTGAGTTCAATTCCAGGCAGAGGGCGAAACCTTGGGCAAGTTTCCTTACTGCACACGCCTAATAATAATCCCTCCAAAACCAAAAACAATAATAAATTGGTCATTTTCAATCTACGACTGTTTGTGGGACATTGCTGTGCGCAACTGCTGCCGCGTTCGCCCACAAATATACAGTCAATTCACTTTACAGTGTGTTCTGTGAAGCGCTTTGGGACGTCCTCCCGACGTGAAAAGCGCTATATCAAATGCAAGGATTATTATTATTATTATTACATTTTGTCTCAAAGGTTGGACAAGAAGCAATTACATTTTTTTCACTTACCAGTTTAGTCAGGATTACCATCTCTGCTCGTTGTGGCCTTTCCAAAGTGTTTTGAAAAAAGTTTGATTGAAATGTTCACAGAGTGGGAAGCAGGATATTAGTTATAAATTGTACACCCTTTAATTTTTTTTAAACCTTATTTAGAAATTTTACAGGTGTTACTGTATTCCGAACATAAATGACAATATACAATTTCCAGACATGTGAAGAGAACAAAATTATGTAAAGTATAAAAAAAAGACCACTCCAAAAAACAGCTCCATATTGCAAGGTGGCAATTCCATGGCACAGCCTGGAAACACTGACACAAGTGAATATCAATTCCTTGCTCAGACTTGGGAAAGTATTTGAGTAGCAATTGCTTCAATTTACCAGAGATATTACTTTGATTAGTTTATACATTTCAGAAGAACAAATTCTGCGCTAGTTTTTATCATGTTAAATGAAGCACAGTACTTACCCATATATTTCGCTGTGAAGGCAGTATTTTATAATGTGAAGTAATAGAATAATCTGGGATCTAACGTACTGAATACTCTAATCACCTCTGTATAATCATGGCTACAGGGAGTGATACAAAATCTGAATACGATTGCTTTACAAATAACTTGGCAAGGGACTCCAAATACACAAGCCACCAACTGATACAAAAACTTCAACTGTTCATAATCTCAACTAAATGAGCACAATACCAACATCTAGCCCTGCTCTCCAAAGAAAGTGATGTATGCAAAATGATCATACACACATCAAGTGCAAAACATTAGCTGGAAAAACCCTTTCTAAATGTCCCAAATTGGACTACTTTAAAGAACAATTTTGAAAACATGCTGTACCAAGTCTGAATTAGCACTATTGTTTCTTGATGTCATTTTCCAGAATACTGAAACAGAGTTGAAACTGAATAGGATGTGTAAAAAGGCCCTATCCAGTGAATCTAGGACAGGGTAATATTTCTCCTATGCTGCTTCTCAAGCACATTTGGAAAAATTATTGAAATGAATTACAAAATTAGGTTTAATTTCTGGGATGCCCATACGCCCTTGCTGTAGCATTACCTGAACATACCAGTGACTCTGGCCTTTTGCCCTTCAAGGTTAAAATGTCCTTTAATAACCTACAGGTACATTTCTGGGGCGAGAATACCAAAACATATGATTATGGTATACTTTCTACTCATTCTCTCATTCACAAAGAAGCTGGTCTTGTACTGTTTATTATAATTTCTATGAAGCTATGTAGTATCTGTTCAGGTAGAGTGGGAAACAAATAGGCAGTGACATTCCAGTAGAGCCTTGGGAGGCCACCCCAATCCCAATGATTCCTCACAAAACACAACCAGTATATCTGTAGAAAGGTCAACTCAAACTGCACTGTGAGAGTCCACAAATACCCATTAAAGGGGTGCAGTGAAGTAAGAACCATCTCATATTTTCTAACCTTGCTCCTGGTTCAGTCATATGGGCAACTACGGCAGCAAGAGTTAATACATTCCACATATTTCAATTACACCCAACTAACTTCATTGCCTACTGGCCTCCTTTACCGTAATCCTTGAGATTTGCTTAATTTCCTGTTCAGTAGACATTAAGTGGCAGACAATATCTATTTAAATGAAAACATGTACAAAGTTTGCCTCTAATAATTTCCATACATTTTTATAAATCTGCCCAATTTTCTAAACTGTTGCCACTATTTTATTGCATTCAAGAGAAATAGTAAAGTCAATCTAATTCCAGTTTTCTGTTCTCAGTTTCATTAACAAAAATAATTAATATATTCCTTGTCTAAATGCAAATTGATTGACCTTTTGCCATCCAACAAACACTCATAAATTCTCGTTGTTACGCCTTTTACAGAAACTGTACTGTGGTAAAAAGAGGAGCTTAGGGCAAACCTTGTTCAGATCCAAATGAACAATAACAACTGTCTCTCATTTGTTTCTTACAGCTGGTAATGCGAAAGTGGCAAGCAATCATTTCTCAACTTTAAGTTGAGAAACTGATTTATTAATGTTGTTTGGCTGTAAATATAAATGTGTAACTAAATTTATTCATTCAACCACATGCCTTCACACATTAAGAGACTCTGTGAATAAAGAGAGCTTTATCATTTTAATCAAAAATTTAAAAAGCACAAGAAAGGCATCAACAGACAATACTATATATTATAGTGGGAAATTTAATCTGCTACTTTCACAAAACGCACCAACTGAAATCTCCACAAATGGATTTGGATTTTGTGAACAACTATAAGTGTGTTGTTTTTAAAATAAAATTCTCAAATCCACTGAATACTGTTTTTTCTGTAATTCCCTTGCTAGTATTTCCCACTATACAGTACTAAAAACATGCAACATTTAAGTATTGTGCGATATAAACAATCAATTGCTTGCTTTGACTAGTTTAGCAAAAAAACTATCATTGTTTTGTAAGACCTTTGGATCTCCATCTTCTACAATCTGCCCTTGATGCATAACTATAACTCTCTCACAGTCTATAATTGTTTGTATGCGATGAGCAATAATAAGCACTGTGCTGTTTTTGAATGCAGTTTTCATAACCTGGGAACGAAAACAAATACCAAACATTAAAATAAACTCTGTATTAGCACGGATTATTAGCACTCACACGGCTTCTTATGATTAGAATAATTTGCTATTTTGCAGTGTTTAACATCTAAATGTCCTAAAGCACTACACAGTAATTAATGCTGTAGAGTGATTTATTTGTAGGCAAACGTGGTAGCCATTTTGTAAACAGCAAGATCCCACCAAAAGCCATGAAATGAGTGACCATTTGATCCACAACCTGCTAACTCAAAGGTGAGTATGTTATTAACTGATCCAGTAAGAATCAAATACTGTGATGGTAAAAGCATAGCCACTTTGCTTGGCAGTACACGTTTATTGTGCAGTCTTCAAGCGTGGATTGTTGGAAGCATACAGCAAAAGAAAGGTTTCTTACAATTTGGAGTGCAGAGTCAGTTTCCATATCAACGGAAGCTGTAGCTTCATCCAGAATTATGATTTTGGATTTTCTGAGGAGAGCTCTCGCAATACACAAGAGCTGTCTCTGGCCCATGCTCAGATTCTCACTGCTCTCTGCTATGAAAGAATCCAACTTCTCTGGAAGTTCACTGACCTATTGAAAAATAATACATTTCTATAAGCTGGAGGTACAAAACTCAAATATTTTGATTTCCAAGCATAACAACAACAACATTCACTTATACAGCGCCCTCCACGCAGGGCAGCGTAATATAATGCTAGCTATTTACAGAATTATTCTGGAAGCATTTAGATTGCTGTGGTACATCAACAAAATTGTATTAAAATGGGTTATTTGTGAACAATAAACATTCTTCACCGTTTCTATAAAAAAGGCACTGCACTCGCCAAAATGGTGACCACCTGACCCATGGTCAATTCAATTCCAACATTCCATAGTCAAGCATGTCACACCTTGGAGCCAACTCGGCTCATCTTCTCCCCAAGGAAGGGGCATTACTAATTGTTAGACTTCACCAAATGCAGGTTTCAGCCCTCACTAGGTGGCTCGAAGGTACCAGGAACCTCTTGCAAGCCACTGAATGATGCATGGAAATTCCAGAATATTTGTTGGAATGGAATGCGCACTCTCTCCCTGGAGGGACACATATTGCTTACCTAAACCTCAAGAAAATTAGGAGAAGGTTGGCAAGAGCCAAGGTTTAGGCACCATCCTGCCCACAGCTCTTGATTAAATCCAAGATTTGGCCATGTATTCCCATAGCTTCCAGCTTCTTCTCGAGGTTAAAAGCCTCAAGATAAAAGCCTTTCAGAAAAATCAATGAATCCAATGTAGGTGGACTCACACACCCTCCCTGAGTATTAAAAAGATGCAAACTCTCATAACAAGGAACAACGTGTCCCACACATGCCCGAGGGGAACAAAATCCAGCTCGTTCCTTCCTGATTAAACTTTGGGCCTCCAATCCATCCGATATATGTGCTATGACAACCTGAAGCACCACCTTAAGAACCTCTGAAATCTGAGTAGTTCTCAGTCTCACTTGGGTCATGTGGATAGATACCACACTGCTCTCTGGAACATTGATGGTGTGCATGCTTCAGGCAGAATCCTACTGGCCAACCTTAAAAGGGCAGCTCCTGGGTGAGTTGACAGTTTCTAGCATTCTTTTGCCTGTTTCCCGCCCCCTCCCACAGAGAAGTTTTTAGAAATTCGACATTAATACCCTCTGCACCTGCCAGCTTGCCATAAGCAAGATGACAGTGCGGAGACCACTTTCTCACGGTTGACTGGATCATTAAGGCTTTTAATCCGCTCAACACCTCCTGCTAGCTCTCACACTCCAATGCAGATGGATCTCTACTCTGGCCTGTTGGTACAGATGCCAACTCAGTACAATACTCCCTTCCGACGTGAAGGTCACCCTGCTCCCACGGGTCTGTTGTGGAGCATCAGACATATCTAACACAGACACCAGCCTAGAGGGGCCCCTCTTGCCATGACTGATGACAGGCAGCTATTAAATCCACTGTAAACTATACAATTAAACTTCAAGCAACAGTGACCCAGCTATATGTATTCTGTGTTATCCAATGCCAAACTCAGTAGAATCAGGTCAAGAACTAGAAAACGATCTCAAAGTGCATCACTTGAGCCGTTGCTTTAAAGATTTATCAACGTCAATCCTACTGCTGCGTTCGTTTTTAACCAATATTGCCAAACTGAAGTTTTTATGAGAAATCACTTATGGTTACTTATCAGGCAAATATGGACAGGGTTTTACAGGTGGCAATTGGCAATCATTTATTGCAGATTCGCATGGAGATGGAATCTGCACTTTTCTAACCTGTGTTCTGAGAGGCTGTTCTGTATTGAATTTCATTTCTCAGTTCTCACATTCAAGCATTGTGTCCTGATCATTTTAACTTGACCCTACCCTGTGTACGTTTTGAACTTTTGTTTACGTATTATTCAAACAGATTCTCATTGAAATTGTTCTCCAATTCAATTATCAACAACTGGAAGCTAAGAGGAAATAGTATTCTGTTCTGCCAGTGTCTTGTTCATCAACCTGGCTTTTATCTGCTCAAACTCTGCCTCTAATTCAACAAAAGGGAGCTCACGTAAAAGCCTTTGAAAGGTTCAAAATACTTTGAAAATCTAGTGCTAAGAAGTTCGACTGCTTCTTTGTGGGGTGTTTTTTGTAAATCACTAGTTTATTATGAACTGGGTCTCACATGAACGTGTGAATGGAATCTAGTTTACCCGGTATTCCATTAAATTACTTGAAGGAGAGTATATATTCCAATTACTTTCGCATTTAAGTAGATTTACTAGGAGACTATTTCAGTCAAGTGTGTTTGTTTTTCTTGAATCAATGACGTGTGTAAGCATACACTTCAAACAAAATCATCTCCTCATTGCTGTACCTGCTCCCATAACCATGTCCCATGACTGACTTTTCACTCCTCTACTTGTTACCGTAGTCGGGTCTCCTCACTGTCTCCGCACCTATCTATCTGCTCCCATAGCCATGGCCGTTCATTACCTCTCTACCATTCCACTGTGATGTCTTTCCCTTTAGTTCTCTACTCAGCTCTGCCTATTCAACACATTCAGAGCTAGCTTCCAATGACCTGCTATGTAGATCAAATGTGCCTAAATAGTTTTCTATCTGGTCACAACAAAATTTATAAAACAGAAAATGAGAAATTTAAAACACACACACACTGAACATTTACTAAAATATTGGTGTAAAAATGTACCACAGCAGCCAGAGAAGTTTAGTGGAGAAATTAGTTTGTTTTATCATCATAAAGTGTATTCTGAACTATCAAAATAAACTAGTCAAGCAACGTGAAACAAACTCAACTTCAATACAACGCTTCTCCTACCCCTTCATATAATTTACTGATTGAAAATACTATAGTTTTTTTGCAAGGAAAACCATCACTGCAATCCATCACCTTTAGGCGTAAAGCAATAATCTGCCAACAATATGGCCATTAGTTTTCACTTTCTTTGTAATTATTAAAACTTACCAATGCTGAAAATCTGTGTGGAACATGTATTTGCAATGTAACCTGTATTTATAATATTCAACATACAAATTGCTGTGTTAATAACTCTTTAGGATAATGTAGGTAAGTTCTGCCAAGGGGTCGGGCCTGGTCTGGACATGCTCTCCACTCTAAAACTGCTGGATTAAGGTTTGATGAAGCGAAGCCTACATTTGTTAGGTACGTAGCTATAGGATATTACAGACCTCACCCTCTTCTTATAATCGAGGGGGAGGGGGAAAGCAATTTCTTTCCAGTCAAAATGCATCTGAATGTTAAATGGTATCAAAGATGAAGAGCATTGTGAAATAGCTCAGGATAAGTTAACTCTTTATGGGTATCTGAATTCAACAGGTGATGAAAGTTGCATTCACACGACTAACAAAGCTTCAAGTGAGAAAACTGCCAAAAGTTTTAATCTGGCGTTTGGTGGACAGGACTCTAAAGCCCTAAACCCCCACTTTCTAAAAGGCCTAAAATGAACCCAAGAAATACAGAGCACATAAAGATTGTATTGAACCTTTCTGACAATTAAAAGCGAGAATAAAACATTTTTAGGGTTCACCCCATTTAAAACATTTAGTCAAAACATTAAACAAGGTTGGAGCAGGGTGGTCCAATGTTTTGGCTGCCATGGGCTGGATTCCCTATTTGAGAAAGGATCATGGGCTGCATAAGCAATATTTTGTGTTTCCCTTCAAGAAACAACATTTACTCAGCAAATTTTTCATGTTGGATGGATGTCTCAAAGTACTCAACACTGCTGGCTGAGAACTTGAACTGGGCGTGGGAGCTGAGCCGAGAGAGGTGGGATGGGGAGGGGAAAAGGTGAACAAAAGCGTGGTCAAAGAGTTAGGTTTTGACATGCCGTGAAAGGGGAGGGGAGGGAGCAAGTCGGAGAGAGCTCAGGAATGCAACTCCAGAGAGCAGGGCAAAATAGCAATGATGGGGCAGATGGGGAGGGAGGACAGGAAGCAGGCTGGTGTTTGCTCTGCAAAGTGAATGGCTGGGTCGGGAGGTTGCAAGGTAGGGTGTAGGGGTGGAATGAAGGACATAGAGAGATTTTTCAGAGGAAAGAGGGCGCTTTCACGTTGAACTGCATGTCACCCTGGGGCGGCTGAGGGCAGCTCAGATAGTCTGTCCTGACAGTGAACCACAAAACACTGCCCTCAATTCTCCTCTCTCTTTGTTCTCTCTCTTTTTGTTTCTCTCACTGCCCCCTCTCCCTCATACTCTCTCAATCATTATCTCTCTCTCGCTCTACCCCTTCTCTCACACTCTCTCAAATTCTACGCTCTCTCACTCCCCCTCTCACACTCTCTCTTCTCTCTCGCATTCTCTTTTCCCCTCCTCTCAATGACTGTCTCCCCACTCTCCTCCTCTCTCTCTCCTCCTCTCTCAATTACTCTCTCACCCACACATACTCTCTATCCCTTCTCACACTCCCTCAATCACTCTCTCTCCATTTCTTTCTCTCTCCCTCACAATCACTCTCTCTCCCTCTCTCTGTTAATCACCTCTTTCAATCTCCCCCCTTGCTCTCCCTCATCACTCTCATATTTTCACTCTCTGCTCTCCTTTTCTCAATCAACTCCCTCTCCCCCCTCTTAATCACTCTCACTCTCTTTCTCTCTCACCCACACTCTCGCTTTCACAACCACGCTCTCTCTCTCTCACATATTCTTTCATACTCACACACACTCTGTCACACACACACACTCTCTCTCACACACACACACTCTCCAACACTGTCAATCCCTCTCACCCTCCTCTCCCTCTCTATCTCTCTCTCCCCGTTACCAGGGTACTTAGAATTAAGATAATTGGCAAAAGAACTAAAGGGGAGATGAGGCAAATTTTTTGTTACGACCTGGAATGCACTTCCTGAAAGGGTGGCGAAGACAGATTCAATAACAACTTTCAAAAGGGAATTAGGTAGGTACTTGAAAAGGAAAAATTTTGCAGGGATATGGGGAAAGAGCGGGGGAGTGGAACTGATTGGGTAGCTCCTCCAAAGAGCCAACACAGGCACAATGGGCCGAATGGCCTCATTCTGTGCTGTAATATTCTATGGATCTATCTGTCCCTCTCTCTCCCTCTCTCATTATCTCTCATTTCCTCTTTCTCACCTCTCTTTCACACACACACACACACACACACACACACAAAATCTCTCCTCTTCCTCCCTCACTCGATCACTGTCTCCCCCCTCCCTCTCCTTCGCCCCTCTTCCCTCCCTATCCCTCTTTCCCCCTCTCAATCCCTCTCTCTCCAAATCAGTCGCATGGTTCACTATCTGCAGCGGAGGAGCCGGTGGTTGCTTAGGAAGCAGTGGATGAGGAGACGCGCTTGCCTTCCTGACAAGACTGCAGCAAAGGCCAGCATTACTTCCACTTTTGGCTGTCGCGTTTCGCCCACAAATGTATGGTCAATTCACTTTACAGTCTATTCTGTGAAGCGCTTTGAGACGTTGAGAAGATGTTAAAAGCGCTACATCAAATGCAAGAATTATTATTATTATTATTACTCTCTGCGCCGTGTCGTCCCAAATACCGGCTCCTGCCTTTGCCGTGGGAGGACATTCCCCAGGAAGGGAGAGGAAGTTGAAATGTTGGAAATGGTCTCGGGCTGGAGAAAATCACCCGCAGGGCCAGATGTGACCCCAGGGCTGCTATTTGGACAATACTGATTTAGACCACCATTCGGTAAAATATTCATGCGGAGATTAGGCAATAAAAAAAACTAAAGATGAAAGAATGATGAGATTCACCACCGAAAACTTGCATTTGCAGTTGATTAAACATTTCAAAGTATCACCACTTCATTAGAGAGGCCGCCAACTTACAAACTGATCTAACTGGGCAATTTGCAGCACTTCCCACAATTCTTCATCAGAATGATCTGATTCTGGGTCCAGGTTAAATCTAAAAAAGCAAATGACAACAAACTGGTTAAAAGATACACAAAAACAAATAATAGTGGGTGATGTCTTTTTACACACCTGCTACTTTTCTGGCTTACCTGACAGAGCCACCGAAGAGAACAGGATCCTGGGGAATAATTGAGATTGCCCTCCTCAAAAACGCCAGTGAAACAGTGGAAATATCAATTCCACCAATCTTTATATAGCCTGCAACAATAAGAACTTGTGAAAGTCAACTGCTTAATAGCGTAAACACGGCCTGGGAAACACTCAGACAGAAGCAACTCTACCTAAGAGACATCACCAAGCCACAAGAGTGCAAGAATTTATCTTAAACATGGGCTATCGAAGCTCATCCTCAGACTAAGTCAAACTTTGAGATTTAGGAAGGCTAGTGGGATTGATCAGTGGTAGAGAGAGAGAAGAGTAATTTATTTGCTTAAACTTGTACTAATATTGACTGGCAAGATACACAGTTGCAGGTTATAAACTGAGAAAGAAAGGTCACCCTCTTACTGGTATTTATTATAGAGAGCGATATTAGAGTGGCCTTTAAGGCGGATTTCATTTCATAATTAAAGAGAGCTTCAAACCAGCTACAAACAGACCTTAGTGAAGGAAGACGTACCTTTATAGTTATCAATAATTCTCAGAAGTGACAAGGAAAGGCTGGACTTTCCACTTCCTGTACGTCCACAGATCCCAACCGTTGTTCCAGCTTCAATAGTTAGAGTTAGGTTGTGCAAGACAGGATCAAGGTGATCAGCATAGCGTACACTGAGCTTATAAATTTCAATTTTCCCTGAGCGTGGCCAACTGATAGAAACTAAATATGGGGTAAGAATTAAAAGCATTTCAGGTATATATTCAACTATTTAGGAGTTTCACAAATAATGTGCACCTCGAGGACAGTGCATTCAAAATCAAAATTATGCAAAAGACGAATTAAGTTTCTAAGCCTTTTCTATAAGCCTATCAAGAGCCAGGGTTTATGAAAAGCAATTTTCTTTTCCAGATATCGAGTAATACTTTCTTCAATATGTAAAAGAATAACTTTCAGGGCTAAATTCTGCACCCAGCTGTAAAGAAACATATTAATCTGGTATCACCAGCTGTTTAGGTTTTTGCAACTTTCTTTTTAAGGATTCACATCTTACGCCTCCCCACCTCTCTCAGCTTTGGTGCCCATCCAGCACCAGGCTTCGGGACCACAACACTCCCACCCTCGCTCGCCTCCACTGGCTCCCCATCCCCCAGAGGATTGATTTCAAGATCCTCATCCTCACCTACAAGGCCATTCACGGCCTTGCTCCCTCCTACCTCTCCGACCTACTACCCCCCTACCTACCTGCCCGTACCCTCCGTTCCTCCGGTCTGCTCCACGTCCCCCGCCCCAATCGCCCTACCATTGGTGGTTGGACCTTCAGCCTCTCAGCCCCGAGGCTCTGGAACTCTATCCCCCAGTGCCTTCGCTTTGCTTCCTCCCTCTCCTCCTTCAAGGCTGGTCTCAAAACCTCTTTGACCGAGCCTTCAGCTCCCCTCTCGACTCTCTTCCCCCTCCTCGCTCCCTCCCTTCCCTCCCCTCACCCTGACCATTTCCCCCCTCCTCACTCCCCCCCCTCCCCTCACCCTGACCATTTCCCCCCTGCTCGGGTCATGACCCAACTGTGCAGCGCCTTGGGACGTCCTCCTGACGTGAAAGGCGCTTTATAAATAGAATCTTGTTGTTGTGAGGCACTTTGCGATAGATGTCCTCGGAATGTGAAAGTCGTTATGTAAATTGTGTTGTATTACACTTTTACATTCTTAAATAAATTGATCGATAATGGGTTGGATTTTGGTAGAGAAAATAAACCAAGAATGCTTGAACCTGGTGCCATCATTGATTCTTTAAGTTGTCTTTCGGTTTTTAGTTCAGTGTAGTGATGCACTCGCTCCACTGAATTCATCTGCATTTCTAGTTCTGCCATCTCTCGGACACTCCAGTTTAAGAAAGTGGACATCTGGAAACAAGAAATGGAGGAGCATGAAACAAAAATGATCCAACTGGCACTTGTGCACTTCCTCAGGGCCGATTACACAACAGCATTAGTTGAATGCCAGGAAGCAGTAACTTGCTTGGTTTTCTGGATTGCCAAGGTCTTGCTTTCAAAGATTAAAAGTCAGTCTGGATCTTCGCACGCTTGGCTTGTACTTGCATTGAAATGAACTGTTGCTTTTAGAATGGTTTAACTTATTTGTTGAAATAAGAGTTTAAAAACTCATGCTCTAACATGCAAGAATTTGTTGCATTCACACAGCAGCTAAAGTGGGTAAGTGACATTTTATGTTTCATTTACACTGTTGTTATTCAGATTGCATCATTCCAGGTAAATTTGGACTCACGACTCGAGTCAAGACAAATTGTTCGGTTATAGACTAACTAGCTGTACCCGTTGCAGCTAAGCTTGCAACCAAATTAATTTAATCGACCTTCTCTCTTTCGTCTGGCATTTTCATTTATCCTTGAAAGGCTTGATCTTCGCTTCTTAGGCATCTTTATTAGTATCTATGTATCTCTCTAGAAGGGTTTATGACCTTTGTTGCTACTTTGTTGCAGAATACCATGCATACCTTTTTGGGGGCTTAATTAAACCATTTTTAAATATATCTTTTAATATAGCTCATCAACAATAGGAGATCCCCGGAAAATATGCCCATGACGTTCCCCCTTGCAAGACCTTTCCAATGGGCTATAAATCATGTCTCTACAACAACAACAAGATTGCATTTATAGAGCGCCTTTCACGTTGGGAGGACGTCCCAAGGCGCTGGACAGTTGGGTCGGGACCCGAGCAGGGGGGAAATGGTCAGGGTGAGGGGAGGGAAGGAAGGGAGCGAGGAGGGGGTAGAGAGTCGAGAGGGGAGCTGAAGGCACTATTGAAGAGAAAGGTCTTGAGACCGGCCTTGAAGGAGGAAAGGGAGGAGGCGGCGAAGGCACTGGGCAATGGAGTTCCAAAGCCTAGGGGCTGAGAGGCTGAAGGCCCGACCACCGATGGTAGGGCGGTTGGGGCGGGGGATGTGGAGCAGACCGGAGCCAGAGGAACGGAGGTACGGGCAGGTAGGTAGGGGGATAGTAGGTTGGAGAGGTAGGAGGGAGCAAGGCCGTGAATGGCCTTGTAGGTGAGGATGAGGATCTTGAATTCGATCCTCTGGGGGATGGGGAGCCAGTGGAGGCGAGCGAGGGTGGGAGTGATGTGGTCGTGAAGCCTGGTGCGGGACAGTACACGAGCTGCAGAGTTCTGAATGACCTGCAACTTGTGGAGGGAGGTGCTGGGAAGGCCGGCGAGGAGATAGTTCCCGTAGTCCAGCCTTGAGGTGATAAAGGCGTGGACCAGTGTTTCAGTAGCGTGAGGGGTGAGGTAGTGCCGTAGTCTGGCAATGTTCTGGAGGTGGTGGAAGGCGGTTATTAAGTTCTTGGCTGACAGACAGACAGACAGACATTTTGTCTTTATTAGCATAGATTACCGACAGTACTCTGAATTAGAAGTTCCCTGCACCAAACAAATGATGGAGAAGATGTTCAGAGTTTATAAATTTGCAATCAGATCTCTGCAACCTTTCTTTAAAACAAATCTTTCTCCTGAAATGTCACAAGTCTGACAGCCTGAGCATCGAGCACATCCTGAAAATCCTCTTTAAGATTCTAAACAAGACTGATTTTAACTTTGACTTTAAGCATAGTACCGTCCACATGTTTTACAAATTGTTGTTTACTTTCTCTTCCGTACCTTTAAGGCATGTAAAATGGCCAAGCCCACTAACCCATCCTCCAGGTAATGCAGTTCCGCTGTCACTAATGCACAAAGTGTTGCAGCAAAAACAATCGTTGTTCCTATGAAATCCTGTAACACAGAATGAAGAAGTGAATTAACTATATAGTTACTTACATATTCCTCAAAAGTTAAACATTATAAACTTTTCAAAATTAAAAAGAAGTAAATTGAGAATTAGCTGCATAGTTACTTTTAAATTCTTATTACTTAAAACAAAAATTTCCCAAAAATGTACACTTAGAATATTTTAACTTATTTAACAACTAACCAGTCGTATTGCCAGCCACCTGTTTATGGTGTTCAGGTATAAATAAGCAATGTTGTTATAGTCAATCTTGTCCACGATTTGTTCAAAGAACTTGTCTTCACATTTATAGGCCCGGATAGTGGTAAGACCTCCGAGTGTTTCAGAAAAATGTGCAAACACGGGAGATTTGGTAATGCTGTCCAGCCTTTGAAGTTCCCTAGAATGAGCCAGGAAACAATAAATATCTTTCTTACAGATGTTACTGAAGCAGTTCACAATCCTGATCTTATCGTCCATTAAATTGCAGGTAAGGTTAGGTGTATGAGTATTGTAAACACACAAGCATATCTTTATGACAGTGTTAACAAGCAAACATTCTTCAAACCTACAAATACAAAATCCAAAAGAATAAGTGCTGTTTAATAACTCTCACACACCTCTACAGTAGATGCACCGAATACCCAAACCAGTTGAAGCACCGTTCACAATTGAACAAAAAGAAAAAGCTTAACTTCTTCCCACTCTGTTCAATTTGCCTAACCATACCCTCATGAAATAACCCATGCACAAATGTTCATGTAAAAGACTCTAGACTCCTAGAGTCTAATTCACGAGTAATTTCATCCCTTGATCATTTCTTTTGCCATGAAGCTGTTGTCATCCTTTCTCTTCCTTGAGCCCCACCCCCATTTCATTGAGCATCCTTTCATAAAACTTTACCCTAAATGTACTGTCTTGCAGAGCATCAAGTAACGGGATAAATTCTCTTATACAAGATGGCAAAATTAGACAACAACCATTACTGCCAGTTTTCTTTCACTGATATCCAATAGCAATGCGACTAGGGGGTGGGGCAGAAAGAGAGAAAAAGCAACAACCAGTCCTTATTGATGAAAGACGGTCTACAAATTGTTGGAATTCAAATCAAGTAGGAAAATATTATTAATAATAATCCATACAATACATATTAAAACACAACACAAATAATATTAAACTTTTACAAGTAACAGACTTGAAGATACATGCCACAAGTAGAAGCCATTGCCAATATAATTTTAGAAAATATTGACTTAAGCAAACATGTAACATTTAGTCATTACAAAGAGCTCTGTAAAAAACACGATGCAGGATCATAGCCAATAATAATAATCCTTGCATTTGCATTCACTGTGCATGATTATTTATGGGAATACCTGCAAAACAATTACCTGGAGGAAGCTCTGAAAAACTTTTGAAGAAAATAGTAGAAAACAAGCAAGGGAAGGATTGGAATAATAAAGAAAGGGGTCACAATAATATTGATCAAAACAGCACTCAAACACAGCAATAAGTGCCATAGGAAACGCTCCAAGTTTGTGGGAATCTGGTCGTCTATAGCCTTGATGTCTGATGAAAACCTGAAAATAAACAAGAATTTAAATAATTTGCGCACAAATGAATTTATTTAACTTTGTACTGAAACAATTAATAACTGAAGGCAGAAGAGGTATTTGATTCATCCTTTACAACAATGTTCTTGTAACCTTTTACTTTCAGATTTATGAGACATACTGGAGAATTAGCTTCGATGTCAGGTCTAGTTGGTTTATCAAGGACAAATGAAGTAGCCGATTTTATTCACTGAACTCTTTAAACATTTATCAACATAAATAATAACAATAATAATTCTTGCATTTGATATACTGCCTATCGTGTCGTTGAGACGTCTCAAAGTGCTTCACTGAACATACTATAAAATTAACGGTGCATCATTTTGTGGGCGAAAAGCAACAACCAATTACGCATAGAAATATCCCACAAACAGTCATAGATTGAGTGGTCGTAGATTTTTTTAAAAAAGCGATCCGCCAATCGAATAACAACCAGGTTCCTACTTTCTGCTAGGTAAACAAAGGCATGTGGAGTAAGGAAACCTAAGGTTTCGCCGCACCCAGGAATCAAACCCAGTGTGCTAACCACTACGCTACAGGACTCCATTTTAACTCATCTTTAATTTAAGAAATTTGGGAAATCCTAAACTCCTGTTTAAGTTACTATTGAATAGTGGTGGACAACATGCTATGTCCCTACTTGGTGATCACAATAATCTGGATTGCTTGCAGACATGCATCTACATTTCTGACACAAACTTTATTCCTCATCGGTCAACTTAAACATCCCTCAGTAACTGATCCCACTTCCCCCCTATAATTGCATGTTCTGGATCATGCCAGGCAACATGATTTAGGAGGAGACCATTATTTGGAAGCGAACTATATAATTAATGTTCAAGGACCCATCACCTCCCCCATTTAGTGAACACAAATGAGCGTTCATACCTGTTCAGAATTCTTCCGATAGGTGTGGATTCAAAGAATCTTAATGGAAGAGCCATTACATTTACCAGCATTTTTCTGAAGAGATATTTTGAAGCTTTGATACCTTCAAAACAACACAAGAGAACAAGATAATGAGGAATCAATAAGAATATTGATGATACTGAGATAAGGGCAACTTAGATTAAAACGAAGCCTAAATTATAGCAAAAAGACTGGTCAGCGTTAGACTGGACAAACCTGAAAGTACATGTGCAATGGAACTGAACAAAGCTGTAATAACTGCTGCACATGTCAGCCCAATGTATCCATTGAGATAATGAGTTAATACGGCTTGATTTTCAATCTAAGGAACAGAGTGAAAGGAAAAACAAAATCAAAGATGTTCATAGCTGATTGAATACGATGGTTTATTTAGCAATAACAATTGATTAGCTGTGTCTTGGTTGTTAACACTAAATGATCTCATTGAATGTCCTTGTGGAATTACTAAGGATTTTTAGGGAAGTGAATAGCAACGCTTTAGGAACCCACCCTGCTTACACTTTCATTTCGCGATTTGTTCTGTATCAACAAGGTTCCTGCAGACGACCAATCAGCTAGCCAGAAGTCAATAGCCACAAAAAACTTTGCTTGATTATTACTGCAAAAAGTAAACCAAAGAAGAAGAAAATGCCAATCGAGCGTATGTAAAGCCAGTAGACTCGGATGGAGATCGATCCTTCTTCTTTTTCCTCGTCTTGCACCAGTTTGCCATCCACATTACCAGGTTTTTGCTCCATTTGTAAATATGCCTCTTCAAAATTATCATCTTTACCTTCCTCTTCTCCTTCATTATCCTCTATCAATCATAAACAGATAAAATACAGTTTCACCAAGATTGTACTTACTGAAAACAGGACAAATAGAGATTTACCTGATCTGAAGACACAGAGGCTTTCATTATTCACATGTTTGTGATCCTCCTAGATTTAGAAAGTAACCTTTTACATTGTCCAATGAACTAGAGCTAGTTAAATAACGCATTTGAATATATACACAATTCTCTTTTCTCCCTGCGTTTTATTAGGTTTATTCTGTCTCATCTCCTTAGATTCCCCCTTCCCTCCCTCACACCATGCACATACAATGGGTAAGAGGATTTCCAGGCACTCTGCTTCTCAGTCTCTCAAAACATTGCTGTGTAACTGGCCATCACTAGGGAAGACAGAAAAAGAGAGACACATGCATGTTCTTGCATTTGTAAGCTTTTACGATTTCCAAACCTGGGACTCACACACTGAGTCATTAAGTTTCACATTATTCTGCCTTTTCGAAAACCTGACAAATTAGATTCTTGAGAAGCAGTTTTAATATTTATTTTGGAATGTTACTATGACATATGCATAATTTCTGCTACTCCAAATAAAAACATGAAAAACATGAACCATGAAGACATTATAGAATGCAAACATGGGAAAACAAAAAACAGCCAATTCAAGGCATGAATTTAGAACTCAAAATTCAGAGAATCATTTTAGATCTCAAATTCAGTGAATGATTTTAGGGCTCAAATTCAGGGTACAGTATATGTTATTGTCAAATCCCAGCTTGAAAACTCATATACTGATGACAGTAGCTCACAGATCTGTAGCAAAGAACACTGGATAACACTAATGCCAGAGACTGAATGCATCACCAAAAAAATTAGTCCAACAATATGAATATTAGCTACCAAAAGTGTCAATGTTTTTAAATGAGTGACTAAACTGCACAGGTGTACACTCTAGAGATCAAACTTCAGATAAAATCTGTACAGCATTTAAATCTATTCCAACGATATTCAAGCAAAATATGTGGGTCAGTCGCAATAACATTATTGAACTGCTTTTGCAACATTTTGTTTAGTCAGTTAAGTATCTGACACACGTGAAAACTTATCATCATGCTTCAGCATGTCTAAACCAGATGTATTGCATCCATATATGTATTCCATTTATAAATAGATATTTCCCATTTGTATGGAATAGAACATGCGCTCACTGAAAATTCATGCACCCTGCTTACCAAATTACAAAATCATTATTCATAGTTTGGGTTGGGGTATTTTACAAATAACTTGCATTTTTATGGCACCTTTCGCAAAGGACAGTGTCTTGGAACATTCCACAATGATGGGGTTGGTCAGTGAGCAAGGGAGACAGGAGGTGTGAGATATGGATAGAGAGACAATGGAGAGAAATTGGGGAAGCAAGGAATTCCAGCGGTTAGTGGTGCAGTGACTGAAGATACGGTTACTTATAGTGATGAGAAGAGTTTGGGGAATGCGTAGCAGGCCTCTGCCTCCGAGCAACGAAGGCAGGTAGTAGAGTGGATTACAGAGTGGGGTTCAAATCACACAGCTTGTGATTGCAGGCACTATGCCTCCACTTGTGCAGAAAAGACTACTCCACCAGTTAGAGTTTTGGATTGCAGGGAAGAATGCCTGCATACAATAACTGGTCTTCTACTTTATGTCCCACTGATGAGCTAGGCTGACTAGTCTGTCAACAGTGCCTTGGAGTACTGCATACTGAAAACACATATTTTTGCTAACTGTTTCATGGGCAAAGAAAAATATATGAAAGGACTTGTGACAAAGTCAATTCGAGCAGTTTAATAATTTTTAGGTTGTAATTTCAGCTGTCCTGACATCTTCAGAATGAAGACATCGGGTCTCACTCGTTGACAGAAGAGCCATTGCACGCGACAGATCAAAATTTTATTTCCTTCAGTTCTTTGTGATTTGATGCCTCATTAACTAGGATAAAAAGATTCACAAAGATAACCCATTTTTAAAGGTCTTCAATGCAGCACAACCCGAAAGATATCTTAGGTTAAATTGTGATTATAAAACACCCACTTTACAACCATAATTTGGGCATTAATTTTAGGACAGAGATGCTGTGCATATTCCTAACAGAACCCACTTCTAAGAAATAAGAGTAAACACCCCGAGAATTGGACTTAAGAAATGAAACACATTGTGCAGTAATGCAATTCAATTCACAATTCTGCACTATTTAATATAGACTCAATTGTGTTTATAGCTTTGAAAGGTATTGTAAAGGTAAAGTTTAATGCATGATTTCTAAGGTGACCAACCTTTTGCTATCAGGGTCTTCCAAATTTGCACCAGGTCTGGATTTTGTGTAGAAATATCCCAATAGGTACCTTGGGCATCAATCATCCCATTCTCCATTACAATGATCTAAAAGGCAAACATTTCACATTTCACAGAGCAGATTAAGCTTTGTCATTCCACAATGAATTCACAAAGAAAATCATTATAGACGGTACTTTTATTTCCAATAAAGTGTTTTCGTTTAGCACTGGGTAATTGCAAACAATCAAAGGAATATTGATGGAGAAAGAAAGTAGTGACTGAGTGAGAAAGATTTTCTGGATCAACAACAACAACAAGATTCCATTTATAGAGGCCTTTCACGTTGGGAGGACGTCCCAAGGTGCTGGACAGTTGGGTCAGGACCTGAGCAGGGGGGAAATGGTCAGGGTGAGGGGAGGGAAGGGCGGGAGCGAGGAGGGGGTAGAGAGTTGAGAGGGGAGCTGAAGGCACGGTCAAAGAGAAAGGTCTTGAGACCGGCCTTGAAGAAGGAAAGGGAAGAGGCGGCGAAGGCACTGGGGGATAGAGTTCCAGAGCCTGGGGGCTGAGAGGCTGAAGGTCCGGCCACCGATGGTAGGGCGGTTAGGGCGGGGGATGTGGAACAGACCGGAGCCAAAGGAATGGAGGGTACGGGCAGGTAGGTAGACGGATAGTAGGTCGGAGAAGTAGGAGGGAGCAAGGCCGTGAATGGCCTTGTAGGTGAGGGTGAGGATCTTGAATTCGATCCTCTGGGGGATGGGGAGCCAGTGGAGGCGAGCGAGGGTGGGAGTGATGTGGTCCCGAAGCCTGGTGCGGGACAGTACACGAGCTGCAGAGTTCTGAATGACCTGCAGCTTGTGGAGGGAGGTGCCGGGAAGGCCGGCGAGGAGAGAGTTCCCATAGTCCAGCCTTGAGGTGATAAAGGCGTGGACCAGTGTTTCAGTAGCGTGAGGGGTGAGGTAGTGCCGTAGTCTGGCAATGTTCTGGAGGTGATGGAAGGCGGTTATTAAGTTCTTGGCTGACAGACAGACAGACATTTTGTCTTTATTAGTATAGATTACCGACCGTACTCTGAATTAGAAGTTCCCTGCACCAAACAAATGATGGAGAAGATGTTCAGAGTTTATAAATTTGCAATCAGAACTCTGCAACCTTTCTTTAAAACAAATCTTTCTCCTGAAATGTCACAAGTCTGACAGCCTGAGCATCGAGCACATCCTGAAAATCCTCTTTAAGATTCTAAACAAGACTGATTCAGCAGCGTGAGGGGTGAGGTAGTGCCGTAGTCTGGCGACATTCCGGAGGTGATGGAAGGCGGTGCCAGTTGTGGCGCGGATATGAGGGAGAAAGGACAGCTCAGGGTCGAACACAACACCGAGGTTCCTGACTGACTTTGAGAGGTGGAGAGTGCAGCCTTGGATGCTGATGCTGTCAGCGCCTGAGGTGCGGAGGCGCTGACGTGAGCCAATCAGGAGGGCCTCGGTTTTTTGCACGTTGAGCTGAAGAAAGTTGTCTCGCGTCCAGGACTCGATGTCGGACAGGCAGGCTGTCAGGACATCGGTGGTTGTGGAGTTGAGGGTAGAGGAGGAAAGGTAGAGTTGGGTGTCATCCGCATACATGTGGAAGTTAACCCCATGTCTGCGGATGATGTCACCAAGAGGGAGCATATAGAGGGTGAAGAGGAGGGGACCGAGGACAGAGCCCTGAGGGACACCGCACGAGACAGTGCGGGGGTCGGAGGAAAAAACGTTCATGGAAACGAAGTGAAGACGGTGGGAGAGGTACGACCTAAACCACTCAAGGACAGTGCCTTGAAGGTTGAGGTGGGAGGACAAGCGGTGGAGTAGGATAGCGTGGTCGACCGTATCGAATGCTGCCGATAGGTCGAGGAGGACGAGGAGGCAGAGGGAGCCCTGGTCACAGATGGTCAGGATGTCATTGGTGACCTTGACCAGGGCAGTTTCTGTGCTATGGGCAGCACGGAAACCCGACTGAAGGGGTTCTATTAATGAATGGGTGGAGAGGAAAGAGCGCAGCTCGTTCCAGGACCTTGGACAGGAAGGGGAGGTTGGAGATGGGCCGGTAGCTTGATAGCTGCGACGCATCAAGGGAGGGTTTTTTCAAGGTGGGAGTGATGGTGGCAGTTTTTAAGGGAATGGGAACAGAGCCAGAGGAGAGGGACAGGTTGACGATGTCTGTGATATGTGGGGCAAGGAGGTGGAGCTGGGAGATAAGGAGTGGAGTGGGGATGGGGTCAAGGGAGCAGGTGGTGGGTTTCAGGGATAGGATGAGTTTGGTGACAGAGGGTGGGGAAACGGGTACGAAAGTGTGTAGGGGAGGATGGGTAGGAGTCGGAGTGTGGGAGGGAGGGGTGGGGGGTGGGTGGATGTTGGAGGGGAAGTGACCGCGGAGCGAATTCCCTTGATTTTGGATTCAAGGAAATCCAGCATCTCCTCGCAGTGAAGGTTGGAGGAGATGACCTGCGCGGGGTGGCGGGGGGACGGAGGAGTCGGGATGTGGTAGAAAACAGTAGCCTGGGGTTGTTCTTCGCCTCCAGGATTATCCTGGAGTAGAAGGACGATTTGGCCGAGGCTAGAGTGGAGCGGTAGATTTCGAGGTGTCGGTGGACCGTTAGGCCAGATTTGACGCAGGTGCGTTCAGCAGCCCGCACCTGGCTCTTCAGTGAGCGGAGGTGGGTGGTGAACCAGGGGGAGGAGCGAGAGTAGGAGACAGTACGGGAAGTGATGGGGGCAAGAGTATCGAGTGTGGAGGAGAGGGTGTTGTGGAGGAGGGTGAGATTAGAAGAGGGGTCAGTGAGGGTTGAAGGCCAGAGAGAGAGGAGTTCAGAGGACTCCAAGGCAGCAGTTAGGGATTGTGGGGGTAACTTCTTCAAAACTCTCTCCCTCTCATAAAAATCTGTCAACACACAAGTATAGGTAAATATCATTTTCATGTTATTTTGGCTTAATTTGCTCTTCCTCCTATATAGTTCTTAAGGACTGAACACTGCCAAAATATTTAGCCTGGCGACAGAACACATTGATACATTCATTAAGAAGTGAATCAAGATCTCAGGCATTCTGCATGCATCAGGTGCCAGGGACAAGGAGAATGTGGAGTGGGTTGAAAAGGAAGAAGAACATCTAATTCACCAGCAGCATCCTCATGTGCTGCCCATCTCAAAAACGACAGAGGCCTGGGAGCTCTTGCCTTCAGCCAAGGAATGACAAACACTAGGAAACGTAAAAAGGACAAGAAACTATTGTATAAAAACCCAGCCACCATTTATCATTGACAGCACTATTATTCAGAAACCTTCTCACAACATACATGGTCCGCTTCCTTTAGATACTCCAGGTGGTGAGTTACGATGATGACTGTTCGTCCTTCCTTTTTTAACACACCCATAATGCCTTGGTGGAAGACACGACTTCCCACATGCACATCCAGGGCTGATAAAGGATCATCCAGGATTACCACAGAGCACCTACATTACAGCAGAGTTAAAATGATAAAATACTTCAACATACCAGTTCCACAATTTATAATCATCAGACATTTCAATTCCCAAAGCTACAACAGCAACAACTTGCATTTATATAGTACCCTTCACACGGGGTAGTGTCACAAAGCTGTATCACTTCTGCCAACCACGGAAATTCTGAACTAGTTTTAAAAGGAAATTCCAGTAATTTTCGTGACTATCATTACATTTCTCTTTATATAAACAGAAATATAGAATTCCGCAGTAACTCAATCAGCAACAGAAAGAGACTGATTAGAGAATGATTATTTCAGGTGACACATCATCAGAACTGGTCTTATTAAAAACATTAATCTATTTTTCTTTTTCAGTTTCAACCTTCTGTGAATTTCAGCATTCTAAAATAATCCTTACATTTCATATGCCGGAGGGTGGAGATGACGTTTGTGGGGGTAAGATTTCAATGTGCTTCGCAGGATTTACTGTTAGTGACTGTATTTTGCACCTAAACCAGAAGCTTACTTGCTTACAGCAATGTTACAAGACACCTGTTCTCATTTCAAATATTTGCAAATTTTTAGTTTCTTATTAATAAGAAGCACCTGAGAAGTAAAAGTACTGGGAAGTGAATAATCCCGGAGTTATCTTGTTTCAGTAAAACTTCCTGTTGTTAATTAGAGAAAACAGAACTATTCCATTGCAACATACCTTGAGTAAAGAGCTCGTGCCACACTGACTCGCTGTTTCTGGCCACCACTCAGATTAATACCCTGAAAAATCCATAGGAAAGATTGCAATAATGCTGTACACAGGAAGTGGGAAGGGGGAAAGGGCACCATAAGTGTTTTATGATTCCATTTGAAGAGTCTTTTGCTCACAACAATACCCAAATATCCAATTATTTCAACTTTATATGGTAGACTAATGGACTAAATTAAGTTAGTAACAGAATGGTTCCCCAGTGAACAAACTGAAATAGCAGTGACAAGCAAGTTGCCACAATGAAGCACCGATATGCCATTAGTGTTTACAATATCTGAACCCACTGGCTTGGAGTATATTCAGGTTACACGTTATTCAAGACTATTTGCATCATCCTGAATCCTCCATCATCCTATATAAATGATATTCTGTCGAGCATCACCATGTATTATACACATCCCATTTTCTTCATACATTTTTAGAAGATTTACAAAGAATGGAAACAGTTTGTGCCAGTCGTATACTCCACACGAATCTTCACCCGCTCTTTACTCCCTCCCATACTCTCCCATTTCCTCTCTCACACATGTGAAGTGCAAATCAAAATTCTGGATGAATTATTTCCACCCACATGCTAAAATCACCACACACAAATTTTACTCCCACACCTATCCATTTGTTTTAGCGATTAAAAATACTGAACGTGAAATTATTTGGATGGGTATCCTTTCATGCCTTGTTCATCCTCACCAAAAAAAAAAGTTTTGAAAGGCAGACATGGCTTCAACTTTTAAAGTAAATGTGCAAACTTCTTCAAATTTATAATAATCCTTGCATTTGATACAGCGCCTTATCGTATCTTTGAGACATCCCAAAGTGCTTCACAGAATATACTGTAAAAGTGAATTGACTGTAAATTTTGTGGGCAAAACGCAGCAGCTAATTGCACACAACAGTGTCCCACAAGCAGTCATGGATTGAGTGTCCAATTTTTTTTTAAAAAATTACATCTTACCAAGATAGATTTGGTAAATTTTCATCGATCTTCCATTTTAAGACAGAATGGTCTTACTGGGTGGGCCAAGGTGGAAATTCTGGCCTCAGATTTGCATCATTTAGTAACTGTATGGCACGTGCACTATGCAAATGCTTTGCACAAGAACAATTATTGACCCCAGGTAACAGACTTACTTTTTCACCTATTTCTGTTTGTTCACGAGCTGGCAGAATATCAATATCTGGCTGAAGAGCACAGGCATCAATGACCATATTAAAACGCTCCTCATCAAACTCTTCTTCCAATACAATGTTGTTCTGTAAAGAGGCATTTCTCAGCCAAGCGGCCTGTGCAGAGTATGCTATTGGTTGATTAGGTGTTGCCCACTTCACGTTGCCTGAAACGGTTGTCATTTCTCCTAACATGGCAGACAACAGTGAAGTTTTTCCACTGCCAACCTTAAATTAACAAACGTTCAGAACAAATTAGCTTGAAAAAGTGAAAGCAATTCATACTGATCATTTAAATACATTTTGAATTGTGGTAGTTCAGTAGTACTTGAATAAAACAATGTATATTTGTATAGTATACCTTTGACATAAAATAAATTTTTCAAAGTATTTTGCAGATTGAGATTAATTAGAAGTCAAGTGAATTTTGGAAATTTCATTTTAAAAAAATTAATTTGCCAATTTTATTTGGTGCTTGTGATGGCGTGTGGATATTATCCACCTCGCTGAACTTCCGGTTCTGGAAACGCGTGCATCCCACTGCACAGACGGGTCGGTAGCCGGTTCCACAAACAGCATTCCATAGAGGCAGGTTTCATGTCTGATTTTGGTGAAACAAAATCCAGGGATTTTATTGTGTGGGCAAAAAACAACTTTCATGGACTTTAAATATGTTAACCTCGAGGCACTCCCTCCAGTGTGCAATAAACTGTAAAACCCAGGATTTTTAGCCAATTATTGTCAAAGTCATTTTACAAGTGCCTTAGGTGTTAAATATTTTTAAGATGAAAGCACCTTCCAATTATCTCAAAGCTTATCTCTGACTGATTTGTCCAGATGTGACAGCTCAAGAAACATCACTGGATGTGAGACTAAACATGCATATTTGGCATGCATTAAAAATTGCATGAAATTATTAGTTAAAAAAAAATAATCATCTGCTGGGGAGTCTCTTCAGAGCGCCTTCCTACACTGACTTCAACCAATTTAACCTTTGAGACTGCAGAGTCCCTGAACAAACAGCAAGATCATATAGTTGGAAGCCTGTTGGAAATACTTACAAGCCAGTAAGTTAAATTATCCTACAGATGTATCAAACTGGTTGGCAATGTAAGACTACCCTAGGAAAAAGCAAATTGCGAATCCCATCTAATTTATTTAGCACCTGAACCTGCAGTCCAGTGAAATCAATATCACACTGTACCAGGCTACATGGATTAAACATGGAAAGGGTTAGGAAATCCTGCAAAATGCAATGCAAGTGATGCATGTGGAAACAGTCCACTAAACAGAATGCACATATAGAACCATATAGTTTGCAATGTTTAGAGAAGGATTAAAATTTGGTGCTATTTAATAGGGCCCTAAAATAAATATATAGTAAAATTCACATAAGTCATATCAAACAAGATCATTACAATTTACTATGATTTATGCAAAGTCAGAGTTACAGGCAAAGTTGTATAAGTTAATCAATCTACACTGCACATGTGTAATTCAATGCAGACGGTAAGTGTGCAAGGGCTAATTCGCCACTGTTGCTGGTAAGTGAGCATGTGGTAGTTTGTCACTGCAGCCAGTAAATGCACACATGGTGACAGATCCAAACTACATTTCTCGTGGTTCAAATTTGTCTTGATCCATAGCCTCACTGACATTGGAACCACAGAAAATGAAGTTCTTCTGCGCATATGTTTGCCGCAATTCAATGCAGCCGGCCGATAACTGTGCATGCATCGACGGGTCTGGACGCAAATTCCCATGATTCAATGCAATCAGTAAACATGGAAGTAATGGAGGATAGGGGAACGGTATTATAAATAACATTTCCCTTTTAATCCAACAGCATGAATGGTTTACTCTGAGTACTGTTTCGAGCATGGTCCCAGTTATACAGAGTTTTCACTGCAGTGGGTGACAGACTGAGGGTCTATAGGACAGAGAGCAGTGCAATGAGAGCTCATGATGATAACATTTCCCGAGATGAAGAACAAAGATGTCTTTCAGAAACCAGGTTTAGCTGCAATGAGTCACAACCAAACTCGAACTAAACCCACGCCTAAAAAGGAGCCTCTTTACTGATACGACGAGAGCATGAAGTGCAAAAGTTTCATTCAACAACAACCAATAAGATTCCATTTATAAAGCGCCTTTCACGTCAGGAGGACGTCCCAAGGCGCTGCACAATTGGCTTCATGACCCGAGCAGGGGGAGATGGTCAGGGTGAGGGGAGGAAAGGAGGGAGCGAGGAGAAGGGGGAAATGGTCAGGGGTGAGGGGAGGGATGGGAGGGAGCGAGAAGGGGAAGAGAGTCGAGAGGGGAGCTGAAGGCACGGTCAAAGAGAAAGGTTTTGAGACCGGCCTTGAAGGAGGAAAGGGAGGAAGCAAGGCGAAGGCACTGGGGGATGGAGTTCCAGAGCCTCGGGGCTGAAGGCCCGACCACCAATGGTAGGGCGATTGGGGCGGGGGACGTGGAGCAGACCGGAGCCGGAGGAACGGAGGGTACGGGCAGGTAGGTAGGGGGATAGTAGTTAGAGAGGTAGGAGGGAGCAAGGCCGTGAATGGCCTTGTAGGTGAGGATGAGGATCTTGAAATCAATCCTCTGGGGGATGGGGAGCCAGTGGTGGGAGTGATGTGGTCCCGAAGCCTGGTGCGGACAGTACACGAGCTGCAGAGTTCTGAATGACCTGCAGCTTGTGGAGGGAGGTGGCGGGAAGGCCGGCGAGGAGAGAGTTCCCATAGTCCAGCCTTGAGGTGACAAAGGCGTGAACCAGGGTTTCAGCAGCGTGAGGGATGAGGTTAATGGCGTAGTCTGGCGTAGTCACTTGTTGAACACAAGTCCAATGCACTTCAGATTGAAACTCGTAGCTTAAAATAAAGCCATCAAATTGTGCAGATACATTAAACAGTTCAGTATTTCCTCTACTACAAGTGTGTGTGTGGGGAAAAGTAAAGGTCAGAATAAAAGACCAGGATAACCTAGTACAAGATAACTGTCTGGAGAGAAAATAACAGAAGAGAGTGTTCTGCAGAGCAGCAAAGTCAATAAAAAGGATGCAATTGATGTGGAGCTGCTAGCCCTCTACAAGACTGGCTTGGAGCAGCACCCACAAGAGTTGCTGATACCTGTAGCAGGTAGACAATACTTCAGAATGCCACAGATAAGCTTCACAAACTACTTCTCTGTACTGTGAACTCTGCCAGAAAGCATTTGCCTGGAAGGAACTCAAAAACTGGAAGTGTTTTGGATCTTAGTGTCTTAAAGTGGACAAAATGAATTATCGCTGAACCATCGCCAATTGGATTGAACCTCTGCAATTGTTCAACAGGCATCAGGCTCTGAATTACAGGCATTAGGCCCTGGTTACAATTTCTAGCTATGCCCTGTGTTATCACCCAATAAAAAATATAAAATTTCAATAACCATGGAATTGTTTAAAAATGGGTTGGACAGATTTTTACGACAGCCTCAAATACGTCAACTAAAGGAGTATTGCAAATGCATTGTCCTAAATAGTAAGCCACAGCAGGCGTTGTGGGGAGCTTGTTCCAATCCATACACAATTTCCATGCATTTTCTTACGTAGCACAGGGACACTGCTTTTTTCCTACTGCTTCCCAGGACTTGTCTGGTAAACCCATGCAGTCCACAGATTCACACCTCCTCATCTCCACCAAACAACATAGTAGCAAAGTTAATTTACCCTCAGAGTGAATCAGGGAGTTCTTAAATGTTGTTCCATACAAGTATCACGATAAAATAACATTCTTGGACATAGCAACTGAGTCACTCCGACTAAAAATCAAAATTATTTGTAGATATTCTCACCTTGCCTACAAGAATGGTAATTTTCTTCAGGAATTTTTGTTGAGATATCCTGAAGACATATTTGTTCTGAATTGCTACTCCATGCAAAACTGCCATTTGTGATCTCCAGGGCATTGGCTGTGCTAGAACAGAAAGAAGGCACATTACTTAAACGTCAAGAAGTAGAAGCCACCAGTTGTGTGTTCCGATTAACTAGCAACTTTCTGCTGGTTCATGAATCCACATCCGAGCAATTGTCTAATTCACATAAATGTTTCCATTGTCTATTAACCGCTGTATAGTTTATTTTTAATAGCATCTATGACATTCAAGCACCTATACAAAACATTCTATAGCAACAAAGTGTTTTTTTTTAGATCCTGAACATTGATAAATCTATTGCAAACAAACAAAACCCATTCAGGAAAACTACATTCTTCTATGTCCAAGTCATAAAGATATTTTTCCTTTTGAAGTAATGCCATTTATAAAATAAATCAAAGCACATGACTATCAAAATATGCAATTCTTTCACATAACATGATTCAATTAAAAGTCTGTCAACTACTTCTAAC